ATGAAGCAGCACAAGAGCTGCTTATCCAAGGGATCATTTTTCTCACATGGTTTCTGTCTGCCCAGTAGAATCGGGTAGAAGCGGCACGCTCCAGGGCCTTCCAAGGACCTCACCTTTTGGGACCTAAGAAGTCTTCTTTCTCCAGACTTGTCCTTTGGTGCCGCAGGTCCCCAGAGGTCTGGATGACTTTCACCTGATATCAGGCGTGAAACCTGGCTGTATTCCCAGCCCTGGGATTAGGGGTCCTACCGTGTTTTCCCAAAAGTAAGGCCTACCCAGAAAATAAGACCTAGCTTGATTTTGGGGGGTGGGCCTAATAAAAGCCCTACCCCCAAAATAAGCCCTAGTTTTGGGGCGAGGCACACAGCTAAAAATCAAGCCAGGGTGAGAGGTGGAGCGGCCCCACGCGTCCCACACCCACTTCCCTTGCAGCCAGGCCTCCCTCGCCGGCCCACTTCTGCGGGGTCCCCAATCCTGCATTTTGCAGTCGGACCTTTCCGGAAGGCCACTGCAGCGGAGAGTCGAGCTATGGATTCAGCCCATGGTTCAGTTCTGCAAGAACTACTCGGCTGCAGCCGCCTTCTGGAAAGGCCCGACCGCCAAATGCCGGCCGGAATGCAGCTGCAGCAGAATGAAGCGGCTCCTTCGGGCCCCAGGAAAATGGACCGGCTGGGCGGGTGAGTCTAAAAGACACCACCTGAAAATAAGACCTGGTGCCTCTTTTGGAGGCAAAAAAAAATAAGACCTGGTCTTATTTTCAGGGAAAAACAGTATTTATTTTATTATTTTTATTTATTTAAAAGATTTACATGGCCACTCATTTAAGCAACTCTGGGCAGTATATAACAACAATAAAACTAATAACTATAAAAAAAATCATAAAACAGTAAATAAAGTGATAAAAACGAAAACCCTATGTCTTAATCATCATTTTGGGATGCCTCACAGCAAACTCCAGTTGCTAAATTTCTGCTGGTTTTCTAGCATGTTGGGTTTGTTTCCTCTGGATAAACACGTTTGTTTTCCTCTTTATTCTTTCTAACTTTTGAAACGTAATATAAATTTGCACAATCAATTTATAAGTATATTAAATGGGTCAGTGTCCTACTTGTAGGTTTCTGCAGGCATTTATCTGCTGTGCAAGAAAAGATGATAGAATGTAGGAAATCAGATATTTTGCCTTTTTAAGCTAATCATATCCCTACTGACAATCCAAGGGTTCTCCAGGGGTTTTCCCCGTGTAAAACAGTTGCTTGCCCTGAAAGGGTTCTGCTTAATTTAAAGTAATTACATCTAGATTATCACTAACTTACAACCAAATTGGGACTGGAATTTTGGTTGTTGAGCAAAGTGATTGTTAAGCAAGAGTACATGTGACTGCTTTGCTCAGTGACTGCGATCCTGGCTCTCCCAGTTGCGATTGTTAAGTGATCGTGTGGATTTTTAAGGAGGAACATGGAGTACCCTGGTGGGGGAGGCCAGTTGCCTACCTGTCTGCCGTGGGGCCACTGCAACTTCAGGCAGGGGTCCTAACTCCTTTTGTTCGGCACTCTTGTAATTTCAAACAGTTGCTGAATGAACAGTCATAAGACAAGGACTACTTGTATTAAAAATCCAACAAAAACAGTTCTTTCTTATCAATCTAATTATTACTGTTAGCATCATTAACAGCACATTGGGTTAACCAAGTGATCTAGAAACTTAGGGTTTTATAACCTTACGTATATTCTTGCTATACTCCTTGAAACCTGAAAATATTATATGCAATATAATTATACACACACACACACACACACACATACATATACATACAGATGTACATGGGGTGAAACTGAGATAATGTTTAATTTTTGTTGAGTTTTGTGGGTTCTGGTTATTGCACTATAACATTTAATCCCTTTTTTATCTAGATGAGGTCTTCTTTAAAGTAAGTTGAATATGATTCTAAGATGATAGCAAAACAGGAAGTAAAGCAGAGGGTCTTTGCTGGAATATTATTTGAGCAGGTCTAAATTGAAGAAATTCTGATTTACTCCCTGTGTTATTTAAAGGGCTCGGTTAGATTTGACTCTTGTGAAAATTGTGATCACTTTTCTCCAGAGAGTTCTGAAAATATATGCACGGTCCCTGGTTAAGTTCAGTGAATTATGTATGATTACGTTGCACCTAACATTACTCAAGTCATGGAAATACTCAAACAATTCTTATAATTTTATCTCTAGCCTGCCTTTGTTTTTATCAGCTACCCAGTCCTTTTGAACTTTTTTAAAAGGAACCTGGCTCTGTGTAGAGCAATGTTTCTGAACCTTGGCAGCTTTAAGGTGTGCTGTCTTTAGCTAGGGAATTCTGGGAGTCAGAGCCCAGGCATCTTAAGGCAAGCGGGATGGGGAATGACGTCTACACATATTAAAGCTGCCAAGAGTTTCTCTTGAATGGAGCTGAAGACAAAAGATCTGGTGCTGCTTTGTCAGTTGGAGAAATCATACAGGTAGTTCTCGATTTATGACTGCAATTGAGCCCCAAATTTCCAGTGCCAAGCGAGACAGTTGTTAAGTGAGTTTTGCCCTATCTTACGACCTTTCTTGCCATAGTTGTTAAGTGGGTCGCTGCAGTTGCTAAGTTAGCAACACGGTTGTTAAGTGAATCAGCCTTCCCCATTGACTTTGCTTGTCAGAAGGTAGCAAAAGGGGATCACGCAACCCTGGGACATGGCGACTGTCATGAATGCATCTCCAGATTTTGATCATATGAGCACCGGGATGCTGCAATGATTGTATCAGTCACTTTTTTCAGCGCCATTGTAACTTCGACAATCACTAAACGAATGGTTGTCTAAGGGGTAGGCAACCTTGGCTCTTTTATGACTCATGGACTTCAACTCCCAGAATTCCTGAGCCAGCCTGGCTCAGCTTGGAAACCTCTCCCTTTTCCCTCAGCATGGCTGGCTCAGGAATTCTGGGAGTTGAAGTCTACGAGTCATAAAAGAGCCCAGGTTGCCTACCCCTGGTCTAAGTCGACTATGCAGCCTCCCTTCTGATAGGCAGTGGGGCCCATCCAAATTATGCTTCGTCTAGTCACCTCATGAAAGGAGTTTATTTGCAGGGGCTCCTCATGCAATGTCACTTTTTGGGGCCAAACCTGTGATAATGCTTAATGAGAGGCAGTTCCAGCTCTCCCAGCAGCACCGCTGTGTTCAGGATCCCATGGCAAGCAGACCATATCTCCAACTGCCACAGGATCATGATTTACAGTCTTCCCTGCCAGCATCCCACAAACCATCAGCGAGGAAGTCGGAGGTCAGGGGAGGCCTTGGCTTAATGACTGCTATCGCTAAGGGTCCCGGTCATAGGGGATCGGGCTTGATGACTACATCACTTAAGGACAGAAATTCCTGTTCCAGTTAGTTTCGTTTAAGTCAGAACTACCTATATTAGATTTGTATCTAAATATTTCATTTCAGATACCACATGCAGCCCACCCTCTGCTTCTTTTCCTCCTAACAAGAATCCTTACTGGCTGGGCCAAAAGAGGGTTCTGATCAGTGCTAGTCCAACAGGTTAGCCCTAACACGTCACTCTCATTGTTTTGAATATAGTGTGCGCAAAAAAAAATCCAGCCATGGTGCAGTTTAGTTGGACTTTTTCCCCAGTTAGGTTTATTTATATGGAAACTTCCTTTGTTAAACTTCATTTGCACCTGCTACTTAATTGTCTAGCTAAAATTCTAAATTTGTAATTGCTTTTAAAATGCGCTTAAAACTTTTGGAGTCATTGTTATGCAATAACAGATGCTTTCATATTCAGTAAACTATAAACAGCAGGTGAAGGGGAAACACTTAAGAAACTTTGTCTTAGAGATATTTGTGCTTAACTAAGAAAAATTAACATTGAAAGACACACAATTGTTTAGATCAGTGTTTCTCAACCTTGACAATTTTAAGGCATGTACTGCTCACCAGTACAAAGAGCCAAACCCAACATTACCCATCCCACCCCCCAATGTCCAGTCTGTTGCCACCCAATCCGGGATCACCGAGATGTTGTGGGAAACTCTGGGTTGTTTAGGTTGCTGGAATTTCACACCAGGGCAAGCGGCCTTGAAGATGCCCAGCGTAACCGGTAGGAACAGCTGTGGTGTTCTTCATATGTCAGCTCCCCCTCCCCATTTCCCACCATTAGATAAAATGGTGTGGATTGCCCCATATGCCTCCCCCCTCCCTTCCCCTTTGATGGCAGGACACCAGCAAGGCGCCAGGCCAACGATGGAGATCCTGGCAGTGACTTCCACTGTGATGGTTCCTAAGGTGGTTTGCAGTGAATTATACGCAAACACACCTAGACAGGTATGCACCTCAAGCACACACTATGCTATCTAGAATCCCCAATTATTTGCTTGAACAATAAGCATGGAGTAGGTCTGGCTTCAGTTCTGCAGATCACAGGAAGTGTGCTAAGCAAAAGGTGGATAAAAATCTTTACACATTCTGGATGATCGAGTACTGTCACTTTGAGAATTAATGTAAACAAGGGTTTAGTCACATAGAGTAATTGCATATTCCACATTTGTTATTTGGGTCACTCCTCTAAGGGTTTTCCACATACCAGTGAGAATAAACTTGTCAGCCTTGCATCTTATTCTTCTTGCTTCTTTTGAGCAACCCCAGCTATTAGCGTTTGTAATGCCTTACTTTTGGAAATAGATGGTGTAATTTACACTCCCCTTGCCACACCCTTTGCTTTGCTTATTTATATATTCATTTCACTTCTGTTCTGCCTCTTTCTGTGCTCCAAGCAGCTCAAGGCAATGAACACCCCCTTTTCTTTCTCTTTTCCAACATCCCCGTGAATCAAGCTAGGCAAAGAATTGATGTCTGACCTAATATCTGGTCTCCATTGTTCCTGGTTTTTTTTGTAGTAGATGTTCTGTCATTTCAGTGTAAATAGATCTGATTTGTGTCTTTGTTTGATTTGTGCCATTATCTTTTTCTTTCTAATTTTCAGGCAGGCAAAAAGATAAAAGAATGGATCCATCCTCAGGGGCCAGGTCAATTGTTGTTCATGTGGAGGGAATGACATGCAGTTCTTGCGTGCAGACAATCGAGCAACATGTTGGGAAACTAAATGGAGTTCATGTCATTGAAGTAAGTAATTTTGTTTTTATTACAGACTGGAGGCTGGATGGGATGCAGCAGTGGAGGTCTGCTTTGCATGCAGCTTAGCAGAATAATCTTGACAGGTTTCCACTTTAGATTCAGTATTCCTAAGAGGGGGGGACGGTGCAATTCAGAGAGCCTGAATTTGGTTATCTTCCATATAATTGGCAGTAAATCAATCCATGGTACTATAGCTAAAGGCAGAAGAAAGAAACTACAATGTTTTAAAATGATTACATTTGTGTAATTAGATTACATGGGGGCTTCTAGGCTGTGTTTTGCCTATGGCAAATGGAAAATTTGCTGTTAATTCAATGGGCTTCCCGGTAATGTCCATTTGCCCTTTTAGAAATTGAAGCAGCAGGATATGTTGACAGTCTGCTGAAAAACAAAACAGATTTTAGATATTATAAGAAAGTTTCTGATGGTAGTAAATCTGTGAGGGCTAAAAGCTCAGAGAAAAAGTTCCTCCTACTTGTTGCAATCTTTGTATCTCAGCGGAATCCCGACTTTTGCCAAAGAATCAGGGCCCGTGCCCCTACTTACCGATGCTGCATGTTTTACAGCAGTGAAGAGGCTAAGATGAGTAGAGGTGCTTGTTCCACTAGAAGAAGCTCTCAGGAACAGCCTATCTGTTTTAATCACAGCCAGGCACTCCACCCAGCAGAGGAGGAAGAGGGAGAGCCTTCTTCTACTGCTGGTTCCCTGCAGAACTCAGGTTTGGATGGAGAAGTCACTGGTGCGGAAGGGACCTCGGGATGCTAAATGGAAATTTTTGGTCTGCTGGGATTTATAACCCAGCAATCCAGCAGAGTCTAAACTTCGATTGGGAAAGCCTGTATCCCATTGTACTTCCCTCGTGGAACCTAGCCTAGAGCTTGCATGTGTGCCTTGGCATGTGTTATTCCCTTACAGTACCTATGGCACATAAAATAACATTCATTTAAGTTTCCAAAATAGCTGCAATATCCTGAAATTATCAAATGTTGCAAGATGCGAGAGTTTGCCAATGTGTTCTGGGATTTGGCAGAAGATTGAGGCCTTTTTAAAAACATTTTGATTTTGGTGTCCAGAGCTCCTTCGGCACTTTCCTGGTACACCCGTGGTCTCCGGACTACAGGTTGGAACCGTTGTTCTCTGCTTAAGACTCAAACTGTCACAGTCTCTTTTGGTACGGATTAATGGAAGAAAAGCAGGGTAATAGTAAGGTTGTTTTGGGAGGAGTCCTGCAAGGGAAGCTACGCAGGGCTTTGATTATCCACCTCCCTGGCCCAGTTTCTTTTGCCTCTGGACACTTGGCGTGGGACCCGTCCTGAGCTTCCCACCTGAGTGGAGCCTTTCACTCAGCTGCCCCAGATTCCAGAATAATCAGTCAGGCTGTTTAGGTTAGCTCCTTTAGTTTCTCCTGCAGGCTTGATCACCATCACCTTTCCATTTTTGCATGTACAGTACATTTCTGACAGACAGTGTTTAGTTCTTTATTTCTGGTGTGTTTGTAACTTTTTATTAAAATGTTAACATACTTTACATTAAACTTATCATTAACATACTAACTTTAAACTACATGGCAGTTTGTGTCATGCCTGAAAGAGCAGGTGAAAATCCATTTAACTGATGCCCAGGGATATTCTCAGCTAAGTTAGCACCTGCTAGGAGTAGATATGGGTCAATAGAATCCGGGGTGGGGGTGGGGGTGGACTTAGTCCACTTGTGGCTACATAGAGATTCCTGGCTATTTCTCTTTAACTCCATCCCCAGATTCTGCTACTCCTTCCCTTAAAGTTTGCTTTCCTTGTTTTCAATGTGTGTGAAATTTCAAAGCTCATTTTCCTAGTTAAATACTCACCAGTTATATGCCACAGACTACTTTTAAAAATTGAGTAGGGGGGTTGTTCTATTCATCCCAACCTATGACTATATACACAGCCCACCACAAGTCAGTGTAGCATTAAATGTAACATGTTCCATATCAGCCACCTATTTAACTTTCTGGGCATGACAGTTGGAGATTAGGCTAATCTTTATCTGTCATTACTGTACTGTATATAGATTGTAATGTATACTTATGGCACTGTAGAAAGTTCACGTGAGAAATGTATACTGTATTATTGTGTGAGAGATTTCTGAAATCGTTTCCCTGCTTTTATTGTAGTTCACCCTGTAGTTAGTCGTCTTGTCTTACCAATAAATCCGAGTTAATTTATGGTTTCATAGGTACTGCCTTACACTTCCTTCTCAGGTGAGTGAAATTGCCATTCAGGGTGTCAGTGCAATAAGCCAAAGCTGCTTGACATGTTAATGCCAGTTTAAGACGATCTTAATCTTGCTTAGCTCAGTTGCCTTTTCTCTTTCTCTGCAAGGTTTCTCTGGATGATAAGAATGCCACCATTATTTACAACCCCAAAGAGCAAATCCCAGAGTCGCTCCAGGAAGCCATTGAAGACGTGGGCTTTGATGCTGTTCTTGACGAGGCTAACCCACAGTTCGTTCCGCATGACACCACTTTTCTTACCGTTCCCACCCAGGCTGCTCTAACCTGTGAACAGATTCGTATGGACCTCCTAAAGATCAAAGGCATCCTGGATGTGAAAATCTCTTCTGACAAAACAACTCTAGTTGTAACATTTATCTCTTCTATTCTAAATAGCAAGCAGATTAACCAAATAGTACCAGGATTAATTTTGGATAATGTAATACAAGATAAAAGTCAAGGAACATGTGAAGATGTAAGTTTAAACCAAATAAATGACGTGGTGCTAAGAATGAAAATAGAGGGAATGACCTGCCATTCCTGTACTAGCACCATTGAAGGAAAAATTGGCAAATTGCAAGGGGTCAAGCGAATTAAAGGTAATTAAAAATAGAGCACTTTTACAGCTTTCGTCCTTTTAAACCATTTTCATCAATTCTCCAGTATAACCTAAATATGCAAGTTAACTTCCAAGAGGTACAAAATATGGATGACCGTTCTGTTGATGGAGAAATTTACCTGTAAGTCCCTCATAAAGCCACCATTCAAAAAAGTACAGTATTTCTAAAAGGTAACATCCAACCTTTTGTATTCTAAAACAGAACTGAGAAACAGAACCTATGCTGAAAACATAACAGATTTGAAATAATTTACCCCCTGATTCTACTAAGTCACTAGGACTAGGGAGAACAGAGAGGATGGTGGTTCTTTCAAAACTGGAAAAAGTTTTTCTGGTAGGCAGAGACTCATCCAGCCTCCATAGCATGATGTAACTGCTGCGGATCCTGGCACTTCCACTCCAAAAGCTAAATTCCACCTCTTTGCTCTATGATTTATTTCTGTTGCTTGCTGTCACAGCAGTGCTATAGTCTGCAAGTTCCTCCAGACTCTTCTAGCTGAACAAATGGATGCTTTCCAGGTAAAGCTGCACAAAATGCTCCATTACTGAATAGTCTTAACCACAAAATGGCCCGTGTCAAGTACTCTGAAAGTTACCTGTTTGAAAGGCATTTCAGAACACTCACAGCTACCTCTGGACTGCTTGGAAGTATCAGCATGCAAACTGTTCCAGCTGGTTTGAGGTGGCCCATACCTGAGCTGTTACCGAGCTTTTTCAATCATGTTCAGAATGAAATAGCTGTTGAGTTTTTTTCCAGGCAGGGAATGAACAAGTGTAGCAAAAGCCCCTAAGACATTAATTCTCAACTCTAGCAACTTTTAAGATGTGAGGACTTCAACTCCAGAATTCCCCAGCTAGCCATTCTGGCTGGGAAATTCTGTGAATTGAAGTCCCCACGTCTTAAGAGTTACCAAGGTGAAGAAGCACTGCCCAAGGATATCAGTAATGGATATCAAGAGAGAGGAGCAGAGGAGGATCAGAAAAACAGTGGGAGGATCAAATGGCTGGCTGCTTGGTGGGACAGGCTGAGAGCTGTGGAGGGGAGAGAGGAACAGACTGCACGTTTTTTCTCCTTGTGGGCCCGCCTCTACTCGGGACCACCCACTCCCGGAAAACAGCGGTCTCTGGGCTAGGCTTTGAGTACCCTGATTTCCAGCTCCTCGAGTTGACTAGACCCTTAACCTACAGAAAATCTTTTCATGGAAAAATACTTTATGGAATATCAAAAGAGAATCACGCAAACCCTTCTTCATTTGTCTTCTAGTTTCCCTGGATAATCAGGAAGCCACAGTCGCCTACCAACCTCACATCATTACATCCGAAGAAATAAAGAAGCAAATAGAAGCGGCAGGGTTCATCGCCTCCATAAAGAGAATGGCTAAACCCCTCCCCTTCGGTTCTGTTGACATAGAGCGGCTCAAGAATAGCCAGAGCAAAGGCTCGGAAAGGACACCGCAGGACAGTTCAGAAGACAAGCTGAATGTGAAGACTATCACCTTCCTGGTGGATGGCATGCATTGTAATTCGTGTGTGTTCAACATTCAGAGTAGCCTGTTGGCGCTTCCTTCGGTGACCAGCATCACGGTGTCTTTGCAAGAGAAGTCGGCCATTGTCCAGTATAACCCCAGCCTCATCAGTCTCGGTGCGCTCAGAAGAGCAATTGAAGCCGTCTCCCCGGGGACCTTCAAGGTCTGTGTTTTGGACGCACACGAAAATGCCGAGTGTCTGAACAACTCCAAATCTCCATTGAAGCCTTCTTTTCCAGGAGCTCTTCACAGCATCGGGCCTCGTCCCCTGACACTGGTGACCATCATCCGTATAGAAGGAATGACTTGCAGTTCATGCGTGCAGTCAATTGAGGGACTCGTTTCACAAAAACCTGGTGTGAAGTCAGTCTGTGTGTCGTTGCGGGATCATAATGGGACAATTGAATATGACCCAACACTGACTTCTCCAGCCGATTTAAAAAACTCCATTGAAGACATGGGCTTTGATGCCTCCCTAGCTGGTAAGTTATTCCTTAGATTCCAGGTAGTCTTGAGAAGACAACCACAGCCATTTCTTTAGGAGAAAGATTTCTTGGAGGGGAGGCATTATGGGGACAATATGGTAGTTTCCTTCACGGGACTGGCTTAAGTGGGCGGCAGTGCTGAAGGCTGCTTCCACCCCCCCCAATCCTGGGTTTTCAGGTCAGTCAGTCCACCCAGAAGCTCATCTAACCAAGGGCAGGATCAGGCCAGGAAGGATGGTAACCATTGTGCCTACTGTAAATAGCTTAGCTTAGCTTAGTTCGCTTTTGCTTTGCTTTTTGCTTTTTCCTTGTTTCGTTTGTGTAGTTTGTTTCACAACTTTTGTAACAATCCCCTTGCAGGAGAAATGCTAGAGAAGGCCCTACAACATAGTGTTGTCCTGACTCCGCACAATTCATTTAACCTGCATTTTCCTTAAAACAGATTTAAAGATCAACATTACACGTTACAGCTTTCTGAGTAGCAAGTGGCTGTTTCTTTTCTTTTTTGAGCAGCCAATTTGTCATCTTGTTCCTCTGTAGGGAAATCACTCTTGGTGCCCTTAGGGGGGAGGCGGGATAGGAGAGGCGCAGGGTCAGGCACAGGATCCTTCTGGTTGTGCTGTCCTTTTGTCCAGAAAATGACTTGGATCCCCATGACGTGCTCTGCGTGCCGTGTCTTACGATTAGAGGTGGGGAATGGTGATTGGTAACCTCCTTTCAGCTATCTTAGAGCCCCTGGTCATACTAGATGTTTTGGGGAAAATACAGAAATTCTCCATATTTCAGTATCTTCTGACAAAACTCAAGGAAAACAAAAGGAAGGTAGGCGCAAGTCCAGTTTCCTTGCTGTTTGCAGTTTTCTTTTGCACCCAGACAAAACCCAACGTTCCGAGGCAGCTTTTGCCTGGAGCTTTTTCATTCTACCATCCGCACTTAAGACAGTAGCAAGGGGCCCTGGGTAGAGATGTGCATCTTTTGGGCTCATGGGACCCATTTGGAGTTTGGGGAGATTCCTGAGACAAATCAATGTGGTGTTGCAAAAAAAATAAAAAAATCATGGCTTAAGACTAGTGAGTCCCAAATTTAATTCCTCCTGTGCCAAGGAACCTTCCTGGCTGATTTCTGTCTAGTCTAGTTGCGCTCTCTCAGTCCAGCCTGCCTAACTGGGCTGGTGCTATGGGAGAAAATTGGAGAAAGGAGGGCTGTGAGAGAGGCCTTGAATTTCTGGAGGAAAGGCAGCAGTGCATCTAACTGATAAATATAAAGGACTCTTTCACAACATGACAACCATGAAAGGCTGGCCAGTTTCAAGTCACCCGGTGCTTTCTTTCCTAATCCTGCAGGGTGCCTGTTTATGAGGTACCCAGCCGCACTTCTGGAAAGAAAGTAGGAGCATATCCATCACATTATTTATTTCTGTCTACTCTATTAATAAAGATGGGGCACAATGACCCAGTGGTTAAAGACGCTGAGCTTGTCAGCTGGAGGGCTGGCAGTCCAGGGTCGAGACCTCAGCTCTCTGTAAAGAGGCGAGTTCCCGTTACTTGCCCCGGCTTCTGGCAGCCCAGCAGTTTGAAAGCAGGCAAATGCAAGTAGATTAATAGGCACCACTTTGACGGGAAGGTAACGGCATTCTGTGCACCTTTGGCGTCTAGCCATCCTGGCCACATGACCATAGAAACTGTCTTGGGACAATGCTGGCTCCCTCGGCCAAGAAATGGAGATCGGCACCATACCCCAGAGTCGGACACGACTGACGGGAAAACCGTTACCTTTCCTGTATTAAGAAGGGCAGGAAGGCTCAGCGGTCAAAGACACCGTGGTTGTCACCTGGAAAGCCGAGAGCCCGGGTTCGAGACCCAAGCTCTGCACTGTGGAGTGAGCTCCCATCCTTGCTCCTGCCCAGTTCAAAAGCATGCAAATGCGAGTAAATAAATAGGTGCCACTTTGGTGGGACTGTAACAGCATTCCAAGTGCCCTGGGTTATAGTCAAGCTGGCCACGTGACCATGGAAATGTCTTTGGATAACACTGGCTCCCTCGGGACAGGGGCAATCTGTATCTACTGCATTAGTTTTACTTCTTAATTCAAAGAAAAATTCCTTAAAAACTAAAGTCAGGGGAGGCAGGGAGCTTAAGCATCCAGAAAGATCAGCATATCTACTTCTGTCAGGAGAATGTAGTTGTTTGAAGAGCCGGAACAGCGTTTTCTGATGTTACTTTTCTGCTGCCAGTATCGCCAAGCCCAGAGCCCGTGGTGCTGATCACTGGGCCTTCCCAGGAGAGGCTGGCTAAAATTCAAGAAAGCAAACCGCCCAAAACAGTCGCCCATCCCAGCCTGGGGCCAGTTCCCAACAGACCGGGTCTGAAGGCACCATCAAAATGCTACATTCAGATCACTGGCATGACCTGCACTTCCTGCGTGGCAAACATTGAGAGGAATCTGAAGAGAGAAGATGGTAAGAAACCCTTCCCTCAGGCTGATTAACATTTGCTGTCACAGATGCAGCAATTTATGACTGATGTTGACCAGATCTCGGGTAAAGGCAGAAGGATGGCTATTCTGATTTGAGCTCCTGCCCAAGGATGAGGCAAGGGCCCATGTGGTGCAAGGAGAGGAAGTGTCACGCCCCCCCTCCATCCCCACCCCCCCATGCAGCTTTTAACATTTGGTCTTTGAGTGAGGAATCGTATCTGATTCACTTGGACCATAAGTCACCCTTTTTTCCCTGAAGGGTGTCATGGAGAGTTCAGAATTTACACTGCTAGAGTTTTTCCAAATTTCATTTTCCATATTTGTGGAAAATAAAAAGAAACACTTGTAAAAGGAACCCCACAAATCAAGGTGTTGGGGAGCAACAGCACCACATCACACCCTGGACCTGGGCCATGAGATGTCTTAAGAAAATCAGTTTTACACTGACGAAAACAGCAGTGTGGTGTGTTTACTCAGGACACTTGATTGTACAGCATACTGATTATTTTTTCAGTGTTTTCCCCATGCCATCACTCTGCTAAATAACTAATTCCTATTCAAACCACTTAGTAAAGCTCCTCATCTTTCCTATTACCTATTTCCTTATCTTCTTATGACTATAACTTGGTGCCTTGTATCTTATGATTTATATTGTTTTATTTGGTATCCTAGTATGATGTATGTTGTTTGCTTATTTAGTATCCTATCATTATCATTAAGTGTTGCATCTTATGATTTATGATGAATGTATTTTTATGTTGACTATGATCATGATTTATTACTGTTGCTTATATGTAAACTGAGAACTTACGCACTGGAGACAAATTCCGTGTGTCCAACCACACTTGACCAATAAAGAATTCTATTCTATTCTATTCTATTCTATTCTATTCTATTCTATTCTATTCTATTCTATTCCATTCCATTCTATTCTATTCTATTCCCTGTTTCTAGGAATATGCTCTGTGCTCGTTGCCCTGATGGCTGGGAAGGCTGAAGTGAGATACGACCCTTCCATCATCCAGCCCCCGACTGTAGCAGAGAGGATTAGAGAACTGGGGTTTGGTGCTCTGGTGCTGGAGGATTATGATGAAGGAGATGGCATCTTGGAGCTGGTTGTAAGTATCAACACATATGCAGTTTTTATACCACGTATGAAAAGGATGGAAGCACTTGAGTAGCTGCAGTATAGGAGGGCTTCTTAAAAACGTGGAAGTCCTGCTGCTTGTTATGTCTAAGTGAGACCATATTGAAGTGGTAGAACCAGCCCTCCAACTCCACTTTTAGTTCTTGTTCCTCTTTAGGAAATCTTTCCCTGTCTAAACATGTTTAGGTGGAAATGAATATAGTGATCTTTCCCCCTCAAAATTATAACAAAAAACCATTTCATTTTGCTGTCATATCTATTTTTGCCTGGGTGCCAAAAGGTTTGGGCATGTTTCTGTTGCTGTTTCCAAGTTTCTAGCCTTAGTGGGAGATTTTTTTTCTTTCCTCAAACAGAAGTGTGCTTCTGTATATTTGCTTTTTTCTTAGTGTCCACATCAGTTTTTCCCCTGTTGGTCAGGAAGGCAAAGAGTGCACTTCGCAGGGTAGGGCTGTATGCAGACTGGGAAACACAACTGCTAACTGAGAGAATGGGTGGGTGTTGAAATGCAGAGAAAAAAGCTGACTTTCTCAACTCCCCTGGAGTTTTACTCTTCAGTGGATGGTTAAAATTCTTAATCATAACTATTTATCTGTGCCTAGTTTCCATTCTGCAGGGGGAAAAGGAGTGATTTGTTTGTTTGTTTTGCTTGTTTCCCGCCTTTATTATTTTTTACAAACAATTCAAGGCAGCGAACATATCCAACATACTTTCCTCCCCCTATTGTCCCCACAACAGGTGAGTTAGACTGAGAGAGTGTGACTGGCCCAGGTCACCCAAATGGCTTCCACGGCTAAGGCTGGGCTAGAACTCACAGTCTCCTGGTTTCTCACCTGGTGCCTTAACCACCAAGCCAACTGACTCTATTTACCAGTTTGAAGAGCAGAACAATTACAGAAGCAGAACAAGAGTAGTGATGAGCTAGGAGAAATCTTAGGTTAGTTTTTTTTAGGGAATTCTATCATCTTTCATCACAGTTTCCTCTGATTCATTATTTATGAACTAGGCAGGCAAAATTACTCCTTAAGAGACAATATTCTGCAAACAAAGGTTTTTCTCTCACAGGTAAGAGGGATGACTTGTGCCTCGTGTGTTCATAAAATAGAATCCACCCTTATGAAAACGAAAGGGGTTCTGTACAGCTCGGTGGCTCTTGCAACCAACAAAGCACACATCAAGTATGATCCGGAGATCGTTGGCCCACGAGATATCATACAGATTATTCAGGTAAGTATTTTTGTCAGTACAGTTTTGCTTTTTGCAAGCTTGCTGTATTTCATTTTATTTACTAGATTTATTTTTTCCATAAAAGTCATTGTAACTAAGTAGAGGAGAACTCATTGAAAAAGATACTGCATATGGAAGCTGGTTTGAAGTTAGAATTTTGTGATCCCACTTTGTAGATATAATAACATGCTTAGGACAGAAACTTAGGTTCTCCCGGTTTGGTTTATGTTCTTATTTTCCCAACCCCCCTTATATTTTCTTATTTCTCATGTCTGTTTATTTACACTATAAGCTGCTGCTAGTGTTCTATCGTTGTTAATTGTATACCCTTCATTCTAAAGCAACATGTTTTGGGACAATGGTTGTTGTTAAATAATATGCGGAAATGTCTAAACTTATAAAACAGCTCTGACGAAGAGTCAGTTTCCCTTTGCTGGCAGTATATATATGTCTTACTGATTTTAGCTAAGATCTGTGTGGAAATGTGCATCTTCACATTATGTCTCTTTCTAGAATCTGGGATTTAATGCTACATTGGTAAAGAAAGACCGATCTGCTAGCCACTTGGACCACAAGCAGGAAATAAGACAGTAAGTCCCTTTTTGTGTTTATTTATAGCTTTGCACGTTTCTTGGAACATGATTTTTTCCCATGACAGTATACTATATACTGTCTTTTGAAGTTTTTACCTAACTTCTTAAGTTATGGTTTATTCTAATATTATCTTGTCCGCTTATTATTTAGGTGGAAACGGTCCTTCCTTGTAAGCCTCATTTTCTGCATCCCTGTAATGGGGCTCATGATTTACATGATGGTGATGGACAGCCACATGTCGGCCATGTACCAGGCTTCTAACCTGACTCAAGAAGAAATAGAAGCTCATCACCCATCAATGTTTCTGGAGCAGCAAATTCTTCCCGGGTTGTCAGTTATGAATTTGCTCTCCTTTTTATTGTGTGTTCCTGTTCAGGCAAGTAGAAAGATATGTTGGTCATTCAGATGATAGGACATAAATGTCATGCCCAAATTCCTTTAAGGACTAATTGCAATACTTAAACTTGAAACACTGACTAGTCTCTTTGGAGAGTAAGAGTAAGAGTGCTTGTAGAGCTTAGGTGGAGCACCTGGTTATGTGGATTGTGACTAGAAAGTACAAAATGTCCAGTAGGCGTCGGCCTTTAAAGTTCACATTTGACCACACTCTTTCACTGCTCCCACCAAAAAACTAATCCTAGAGGTAAAATAGTTTTCCTTTTCTACTCTTTTGAAAGAAAGTCAAAAGTATTTTTTTTATCATGGCATTTCAAGCATCTCTGTCAAAGTTTTTGTTTTTTTCAGTATCATTTTCCCTTGATATATAGTGGGAGACTTCGCTTCCTGGTGAAAAACCCCTAGAACTACTAAACAAAATACATTTCACAATTATTCTGAATTTTCTTCCTAAACCAAACATTTGGTGGGGGGTGGAGGGTAAAGGAAAGGATAGAAGAAGCAAGGAGAAGATGGGAAATAACAGTGGCCCTGTTCAATTTTGCCAGTGAGGCAGAGCAGCCTCACAAGAAGAGCTTCCCCTGGATCTCCCTGCTTGCTCTGTCATCTGCCTCTTGGGAATCTGCCGCCTGTCCGTCATGCCTGGGGCAGGCTGGATGTATCTTCTTGAGATGCCCAGCCTCAAGACTCGCAAAGAGGGAAGAAGCATCTGTGCATTTTCTCCTGAAATTTGGCAATGAACGATCCTTTTGCTGCCTGATTTCTCTGTTTCAGTGTAAATGTCCTGCTGATATTTGCTCTTCTTACAGTTCTTTGGAGGCTGGTACTTCTACATTCAAGCTTACAAAGCACTGAAGCACAAAACAGCCAATATGGACGTGCTGATTGTTCTAGCCACGACCATCGCCTTCGTCTACTCCTTTGCCGTTCTTCTGGTTGCAATGGCTGAGCGGGCAACAACCAATCCAGTGACTTTCTTTGACACCCCCCCCATGCTCTTTGTGTTCATTGCGCTGGGGCGCTGGCTGGAGCATGTGGCTAAGGTCAGGGGAGAAGAGCTCTTCCTCCGGGTCAGAGGGGCGGGTGGAGGGAGACCGTGGAAACGCTTTCAAGTTAGCTGCCGTGTTCCGTGCTTACCTGCGTTTAACTCCGATCTGGGTGTTATTAAAAAACATGTTTCAATTAAAGAGAATGCATATAACAATAATCTAGTACTACACACGAGCGCGAGCGCGCACACACACACTAATGAACATCACACAAATGCTGGCTGCATCCCTCTCCTGCACCCTTTCTGCCTTTTTGAAGAAGGTCTGGAAGGGAGTTCAGGGGCCTTTGTGTGCATTCAATTGACTCCCCATTGTGCTTCCTCAAGAAGGACGTGGAGGAAACGAGAGAGGGGCAGGGAGGTGAGGGGTCCGGCCATCGCACTGGGTGCCACCTTTAGGGACTTTAGTCCTCAAATTTGCTCAAGCTGGAGGCTAATGAATTTTTTTTTTAATCTACCAGTGACTGGCATTGTAAACAGTTAATAAGCAAATGTATTTCGAATAAATGTCACACTCCTAAAAACAAATGCCAAATGAAAGAAAAGATTATGTTTTCCTTGGAACTTACTTAGATTTTCTCTTTCCTTGCTCGCTTGTGAGGAAAGTCTCTCAGCTAAAGACTTCTTGTTTAACCCGTGATTTTGATGCTTGCAGTGAATTTCTTTGGTGCCTTGTATGTAAACACTTTTTAATCTTTTTAGGGTAAAACATCAGAGGCCCTTGCGAAGCTAATTTCACTACAGGCAACAGAAGCAACTATTGTTACTTTAGGTCCAGATAATATCCTCATGAGGTATTTCCAGTTCTGTGGTGGTTTTTTAATGAAATGTTTATATGCTACAGTGGTTCGTCCCCTGTAATTGCCTTGTAGTCTTTATTTCTGTCTTGCACCACTGAAGGTAACATTCTGCCTGTGCAGCTCAGTGTAAATTATAAATGTTTGTAAATGAGACAAGAGGAGCAACCCAACATGGATTTGCATATAAACTCCCCAAAACATAATTTCAGCTGGGAATGTCTTTACATTACTGTAGTCTCCTGCAGATGAAGAATTCTTTGAACAGGAATTTAAAAGAAAAGGGCATTTTGTTGTGCAGGATTTAACAATCGGAAATTCTACATCGCTTCCATTGCTAAGTTTGAATGTTCTGACTTCTCTGCAGTGAAGAGCAAGTTGATGTTGAACTAGTTCAGCGGGGTGACGTTGTGAAGGTGGTCCCAGGTGGCAAGTTTCCCGTGGATGGCCGAGTGATTGAAGGACACTCTATGGTAGACGAATCGCTCATCACAGGCAAGCTGGAGGGGCTTTTCATGGGCCCTGGACTCCGGGCTGGGGAGAGGGAAATTGTCAAAGAGTGCCCTTCGTTTTGTTTTATTTCTGATATACATAGGTGAAGCAATGCCTGTGACCAAAAAACCCGGCAGTTCAGTCATAGCAGGTTCAATTAATCAAAATGGATCCCTGTTGATCTCTGCAACCCATGTTGGGTCTGACACTACTCTCTGCCAGATTGTAAAGCTTGTGGAAGAAGCTCAGACATCAAAGGTATTTTGACTCATACGTTTAGGTTTTGCTCCTGTTCGATGGCCATGGCCATGATTCAAGACAGCAAGTTGATAGCTTAAAGTCCGCAGAATTCCGCGTCCCCTTTTTTTTGGGCCTGCCAATAATTATAGCATCAGCAAAGTATGAGTTAAATACCTTTCTCACTAAAAATCATAACTAATCAAGATATCAGTTATGTACATGTATATTATTTATTACAAATCTGCAGGCTAAAAGCCAAGCCAGCTCAGCTTCAAAAAAGAATTAATGTTGAATTAATGTTGCTTCTTTTTCTCTCCTTCCCTTGCTTTAGGCACCAATTCAGCAGTTTGCTGACAAACTGAGTGGCTATTTTGTTCCTTTTATTGTTGGTGTTTCTGTCATCACACTTCTTGCTTGGATTGTGATTGGTTTTGTCAATTTTCAAGTTGTGGAAACCTATTTTCCTGTAAGTTTCTTTCCTTTTGTTTTTAATTTTTGTGAAGAAATGACCTGCACAAGGTTCCTTCTTAGGCCCAGGACTCTTACAATGTTATGGGTTTCTTCTGAATAGTAAACAACCACTTTTTGCTGATTTAGACAACACACTTCCTAAAATGTCATCGTATAAATCATGGTGGGCCATCTATTGGGGGGGGGAGGTGGTCAAAAAAATCAATATGGTGCCAACAACTATGTAATTGATGCCCCACATTGTAAGGACCCGCTTCAAAACCTCATCCCAAGAAAGCAGGACTCATGGAAGACTTTCATTCCAAAAGGAACTTTTATTAGGAGAAGCTGACAGCAGGCAAAGAAGGCAGGATCTGAGGGGTTCCTGCTCAGATCAATAGGTTAAAAAAGCATCAAGCAAACCCCACCCCAATAGTTTATCCTGTCAGTTCAAACTAGCCAATCCCCATGGGTTTGGTCCGCTGTGGGAACGGAGCTGATAACGGAGTCCTTCCCATGCCTGTTGGGTCTTCGCACCTTTCTCTTCCACCCGTGAGAGATAAGCCAGATGGCCGGAGGCACATTCCTTTCTCACCCCAGATTGACATCAAGGGGAAACAGTTCAAAGAGCAAGCTGATAGAAATAGCAGAGAGGATACATTTTAACAAAGCAAAAGGAGAAATAGTGCATTCCCTGGAGCCTCCCCCCTCCCCGCAGGAGAATGACAGAACCCACAGAAAGAACCCGAAAGGAACAGAACCAACCCCCTCCCCAACCCCATGCACATGTTTTTTAAAAAGGGTGGTGCTTTGATCATGAGTCACATCTGTCCTTTTGACATTTTGCCCCCCCCCCCCCCAATGCCTGCAGGAATACATTCTCAAATTGGTTGAAGGCTGATCAACACCCCCAGGATCACTTGTTCTTAAGGGTACTCTTCAATATCTTCATAAATGACGTAGATGAGGGAATTGAAGGGGAACTCATCAAATTTGCAGATGACACTATACTCGCAGGAGTGTCCAACATCCCAGAAGACAAACTCAGGATCCAAAAAGATCTTGACAAACTTGAACAATGGGCCCTGTCCAACAAAATGAGTTTCAGTGTGGAGAAAAGCAAAGTTTTACATTTAGGCAGGAAAAATCAAAGGTACAAGAACAGATTAAGTGAGCCCTGGCTCAAAAACAGTAACTGTGAGAGGGGACCTTGGAGTCCTGGTTGATGATCACTTGACTATGAGCCAGCAGTGTGCAGCAGCCGCCAAAAAAGCTAATACAATCCTGGGTTGTATAAACAGAAGTATAGAATCAAAATCACATGAAGTATTAGTACCGCTTTATAAAACCCTATTAAGACCACACCTGGAATACTGCTGCCAATTTTGGTCACCATATCACAAAAAAAGACATTGAGAGTTTGAAAAAAAATCCAGAGAAGAGCAACTAAGATGATTAAACTTAGACTAAAACATACGAAGAATGGCTGCGGGATTTGAGTTTGGCTGATCTAAAGAAAAGAAGAAATAGGGGAGACATGATAGCAGTATTCCAGTATTTGAGGGGCTGCCACCAAGAAGAGGGGGTAACGTTATTCACCAAAGCACCAGAGGGAAAGACGAGAAACAATGGTTGGAAACTGATCAAAGAGAGAAGCAACCTGGAATTAAGAAGAAACTTCCTAACAGTGAGGACAATTAAGCAGTGGAACAACTTGCCTCCAGAAATCGTGGGCGCTCCATCACTGAACGTTTTTAAGAAGAGACTAGACAGTCACTTGTCTGAGATGGTATAGGTTCTCCTGCTTGAGCAGGAGGCTGGACTAAAAGACCTCCATGGTGATACTCTAATCTAATCTAATCTAATCTAATCTAATTAACCAAAGGGTTACTTTTCTTGACTATTGTTCATATTCCCTATATTATGTATGATAGATCAATTTGAATTTAAATAGCAAAAAAAATAGGAAATACGATTCAGATGCATTACTTCATATAGTGTTGTTTTTAAAATGCTGCTTTGATTGCATTACTTACATTTACATTTTTGCTGATTTTTGCCCAGTATTTAAATGTGATTTATGATCATCTTCTAAATGCTAATAATTGCTAATAAACATGCCTGAAGATGTGGCTGGAAGACACTACACTTAAAAGGAGTTATGTGTTCTAGTAAAGAAGAAAATGACCTTTGCTTGCACAGAGGAACACTTATTTTATAGGTCACAGAGTGGGAAAAGGACCGTTTTGACCATCAGTTGATCACCTGATTAAAAAAGAATAAATTGTGTACAGAGGCAATGCAAGTTCACACTTTCTGTAATATTTTTTAATGCTGTATCACAACATTTAGTTGTATTCATGGTGGTTAGTGATATGCTTATTGTTGCACCCTATTTTATGCAGCCCTTGGAAGTTACAGCAAGAGGTATTCCAAAGTTCCAGGGAAATCTCTTGAATGTTTCTCTTTGCTGACATTTGAGGTCTGACTCTAGCCTGATAGTGTAGTGGCTATTCATATGGTCAGATGATCCCAGGCCACATTGGTCCTCATAGGCCTTCGCTGTAGAGGAGGCAGCAGAGTCCTGAGAGTCTATCAGAATCTTTCTCTGCCACACCTTCTACAAGATAAAATCAAGGCAGAGTTATTTTGAGTTTGTTTCCCACACTTTCCTTTTTCCCACACTTCTCCCTTTAATGTTTCATAACTTTCTACCGCTTCCCGTGGCAAGATCTGCATTCTTTCACACATAAACAGATGATCTATAAAATCAAGATGTTTAGATTCACACTTCACATAAATCTGTGGTCAATTGAATAAATTACAGTTGGCTGGGTTAATACAAAATGCTAAACCATACACCATATTTTATATGCCACAACTGATGAGTTCCCATAATTCGAAGCCAAAGAAATCACATTGAGGGCAGCACAAGATGTGACTTCATCAAACTTTGAATTCCAGCACTTTCTTTAAAATAAGTGCCCATTCAGTCCTCTCTCTGTGTGCCAACAGGGCTATAATAAGAGCATTTCCAAAGCAGAAGTCGTGATCCGCTTTGCTTTTCAAGCCTCCATTACCGTGCTGTGTATTGCCTGCCCTTGTTCTTTGGGATTAGCAACGCCGACTGCTGTGATGGTGGGAACTGGAGTAGGAGCACAAAACGGCATCTTGATCAAAGGTGGAGAACCGCTGGAGATGGCACACAAGGTGAGAAAATGGAATGTCCTTTTTGCTTGAGTGGCAAAGGCAAAAAGATCTTACATCTTAACTTTGTCCAAGAATGTTATGAATCCCCCCCCCCCAAGTATTTGCTGTTGTTTACAACTCTAAAGAGTGTGGCTGTATGGGTGTTTTGCAGGTTAAAGTTGTGATGTTTGATAAAACAGGAACCATCACCCATGGAACTCCAGTGGTGGTGCAGGTGAAGATGCTAGTGGAGAGTAACCGGATACCACGCAAGAAAGTCTTGGCACTGGTGGGAACAGCAGAGAGCCACAGTGAGCACCCTTTAGGAGCAGCAATCACAAAATACTGCAAACAGGTAGAAGAGTGGATCGTAGAACATAAAATCAGAGGTCTTCTAGTCCAGCCCCTGCTTAAGGCAGGAGGCCTTATACCATCTCAGTCAAATGGTTGCCCAATCTGTTTTTGAAAACCTCCAGTGATGGAGCACTCACAGCTCTGGGAGTCAAGTGTTCTGTTGATGAATTGTTCTCACTATCAGAAAATTCCTCCTTAGTTTTAGGTTGGATCGCTCTTTAATGATCTTCCACCCATGATTTCCTGTCCTGTTCTCCAGTGCTTTGGAGAAGAGCCCCCCCCCCCTTCTTCTCTGTGAGAAGCCCCTCAAGTACTGGAAGACAGTTATCATGTCCCACCTAATCCTTTTCTTTGATAGGCTACAGATACCTAGGTCCTCCTGCGATTTAGCCTTCAGATCCTTTATCACCTGTATTGCTCTTCTCTGCACACTTGTGTGGTTTCAGTGTCTCTTTTGTGTCATTGTGGCCAGACCTTTATACAGTATTCAAGTGTAGCCTCTCTAGAGCATTGTAAAGTGGCCCTGTCACTTCTCGTGATCCTGATGTGATCCCTGTGTTGATGCAGCCCAGGATTGCGTTGTCCTTTTTGGCAGTTGCAGCACACGGCTGGCTCATACTTAAGTGCTGGTCCAGTGGGGTCCCTGGATCTCTTTCACAGCTGCTACTGTTGAGCCAGGCACCGCCTGTTTTACACTTGTGCATTTGTTTTTTTCCTGCCTAAGTGCAGGATCCTGCTTTTCTCACCACTGAACTGCATCTTGTTCGATAGGGTCCAATCCTTAAGTCTATCAAGATCCTTCTGAATCTTGAGCTTGTCTTTCAAAGTGTCAGCAATTTCCCCAGATTGGTGTCATCTGCAATTTGATGAGTTCCCTTTCTATCTCCTTGTACAGATAATTTATGAAGAACAGGGAGCTTGGAGTCCTAATGGACGATCACTTAAACATGAGCCAGCCGTGTGCGGCAGCAGCCAAAAAAGCCAATACAATCCTTGATTGTATAAACAGAGGCACAGAATCAAAATCACAGGAACCATTAGTGCCGCTTTATAAATCCTTAGTAAGGCCACATCTGGAATACTGCATCCAGTTTTGGTCACCACATTACAAAAAAGATGTTGAGACTTTAGAAAAAGTACAAAGAAGAGCAACTAAGATGATTAAAGACCTGGAGACAAAAACATGAAGAACGGTTGCAGGATTTGGGTTTGGCTAGTCTAGAGAAGAGAAAGACTAGGTGTACATGATAGCACTATTCCAGTATTTGAGAAGTTGCCACAAAAAAGAGGGAGTCAACTTATTTTCCAAAGCACCAGAGGGCAGGACAAGAAACGATGGAAACTAATCAAGGAGAGAAGCAACCTGGAATTAAGGAGAAACTTCCTAACAGCGAGGACAATTAACTAGTGGAACAGCTGGCCTTCAGACATTGTGGATGTTTTATCACTGGAGGTTTTAAAGAAGAGACTGGATAGTCACTTATTTGAAGTGGTATAGGATCTCCTGCTTGAGCAGGGGGCTGGACTAGAAGACCTCCAAGGTTCCTTCCAGTTCTATTCTGATTCTGGTGTTGAAAATACTGGGCCCAAGACAAGAGCTTGAGGCGCTCCGCTGGATGCTTCCCTCTGTGTAGATGTAGTTCCATTGAGGACTGCATGCCGAGTGCAGTTGGTCAGCCAGTTATGAAACCATCTGGTGGTGGTACTGTCTATTCCACTTTTTTTTTTCTTACCAAGAAATAGACTGTGGTCTATTTTGCCAAATGCCTTATTATGTCCACAACATTTTGCTGGTCCACTAATTTAGTCACTTCATCAAAGAAGGATATACGGTTTGTCTGGTATGATGCATTTTAACAAACCCATTCTCGCTTCTAGTGATTCCCTTGTTCATTTTAGGTGCTCATAAATCCACTGCTTGATTATCTTTTCCAGTATTTTCCCAGGTATTTATGTCAAGCTGATTGGCCTATAATTTCCTGGATCCATTTTTTCCTCCTTTTTGTAGATTGGTACCATGCCAGCTCTTTTTCTTCCTCGCTGCATTTATTTTGAATACAGACTTCTGCCTTTCCGAGAAATTCCTCATTCTCACGGATGAGACTCAAAGTGGCTAGACAGGCCCGTAAAAGTCTAAACCTTCCACTTTCTCCTTTATTAATCCGAGTTTGCACTTGGTGCAGATCTTTTATGATGTTAGGAATTGTCTTCACTAACATGCACTGGTGAACAGTTCTTGAGTCATTCTCCCATTTTCTCATTCTTAGCCTAACTCACCCCTCAGGAGCGATAAGAGTACACAGGAAGTAAAGTGAGATTTAAACATGCTACCTTTGCTCCTTAGAAAAAAAGATGGGTTCAAATATAAGTAAAGCACGGGCAGAAGGTACAAGATCTGTACTTTGCTAGATATTTCAGATACTTTAGGCATCTACTGTAATTCAAAATTGCTTGCAGATGTCCCTCCTGGAGGTCCTCATTCCTTACATGTCCTCCAGATTTGGGAAGGCTTATTATTGCTCCAAGCACCGCTGTATTTTATTCCCACATCTTGTATTGGAATCTGTATTTGGAGCTCTTGTTTCGAATGATGGTCCTGCTTTTGCCCAGGTGAGTTTGTTGTGTGGTCCTTTCGTTTCTCCAGGAATTGGATGCAGATACCCTTGGGACGTGCACTGATTTCCAGGTGGTGCCTGGCTGTGGGGTTAGCTGTAAAGTTACCAATATTGAAGCCCTCCTGTGCAGCAAGAGTGAAACTGTAGAAGAGACCAATGTCAGGAACGCTGCTCTAGTGAGCATGGAGGAGAAGGCTGAGCCACTCATGCAGCCAGCTTTGATCATCAATGAGCGGATACCAGGTGAGTTCATGTGGGCTTGTAACACCTGTGTTCTTGGCAAGGATTTGGCTTCTGGAGAGAGGAGGGGGGCCAAAAGCCAACAAGTTCTGTTTTCTGGATTGGCATGTTAAGCCTTGTAAGGCAGTTGTGTAGTAATGCTTCCCCATTCATTCTATGTTAATTCACAGCCAAACACAACCATGTGAATAAAATGTTCCTTTGTTCCCAACAGGAAGCCGCCTACTAGGCAAGGACTTATATTGCTACAGAGATTCTGCTTTCCAATTGGCACAAGTTACATAATGATGGCCATTAAATAGCCTGCTTTATGTAATTGGAATACAAGAGTTTGCAAACGAAGCCTGGGGTCCTCTTGGTTTTTTTTTTGGGGGGGGGGGAGAGAGGTTAGCAAAGGACAGTTGGGCAGGATTATCTTATAGCTGCCCCTGGGCTTTACTGGCCCATTTGGGCTGTTCTGAGAATGGAATCTGGTCTAGATACATTTGCTTTGGGCTTCAAAGAAGCCATCATTTTCCAATTCACATGTAGAAGAAGAAGAATCCTAGGCAGAACTGAAATTATTTTTTTGAATGTTAAGTGATGATCCAGGCTAGTGTCTTCCTGACCAGCTTTCTGAGACTAATTTATTCTGTGACCATTGAAGGAAATGCTACTGACTTTGCACAATAAGATGTTCAATAGCTTACAGGGGTTTTCATTTCATTCTGCAGATGGAGGGGACAGCTGATTTTTCTGGAAGACAGTGAGGTTCAAATACATGGGAACATAATTAGGCATAAAATTATATCACTTAAGAGCTTAAAACAGTCCGACCAGAGTCACATGACTTTGATTTTTGTTTTTATTTATGGGCAATCGTAATCAGGCTAGTTCAGGTCTCATTCTTTCCTTAGCTAGAAATAAAGAAAGATTCTTATAAAATGGCAGTGCCATTTATTATTAAATAGATATCAGTAGAAGTTTGGTAGCATCTTTTCCAACCAACAAATATTATTTAAAAAGCACAAGCTTTTGTGAGTTGCAGCTTCCTTGATTAGATAGAATGGCAAGACTGATGTATGATTTAAATGATGATGAGATAGGGAGTAGAAAGGAAGAAAATGGTTAGTTTATGAAGATTCAGGATACATGTGAGACAGATTATCTAGTACTGTACTTTATCAGTTAACAACTGTAATATGTTAAGAACCATTGTGTGTGTTGAGATTTCCTGAGATAGCATGACACTTTTTAGTGTACATGAGTTCAGCAACCTCTACTTCAATTATGTTATAGTTTCTTTTTTCCATAATGGCATCTATGCGATCTGCTATGGGGTGTCTTGAAATGCTCTGGTGCTACTTTGTTCTTGTTTTAAATCCTTGTTTTGATGACCAACTTCTGTCTATTATTCATTTTGTGCATCTGTTGTGAGGTATACCTTGTGAACATCAGTAGTATCTGTGAGAGGAATCTAGATGTCCTCATGGTCCACCACTATATATGAGCCAGCAGTGTGGTACAGTTGCTAAAAAGGCCAATGCAGTCCTAAACTGCCTTAACAGAAGGACAGCATCAAGATCATGAGAAGTGATAGTACCGCTCTATACTGCCCTAGTAAGGCCACACCTGGCATACGGCATCCAGTTCTGGTCACCACAATGCAAAAAAGATGCTGAGACCCTAGAAAGAGTGCAGAGAAGAACAACAAAGATGATCAGGGGTCTGGAGGTTAAACTATACAATCAATAGCTAAGGGGACTAGGAAAGTTTAGCCTAATGAAGAGGAGGCTTAGGGATGATTTACCCTCCAAAACATCTGAGGGCAGAACAAAAAGCAGTGGGTGGAAGCTCGTTAGAGAGCGATCCAGCCTGGAACTAAGGAGAATTTCCCTGAGCTATTAGTCAGCAGAACCGACTGCCTCCCAGGCTTTGTAGGAGCGCCATTGCTGTGGTTTTCAAAAAATATTGGGCAACCGTTAGTCCAGGATGGAATAAGGATGGGGCTCCTTCCAGCCCTATGATTCTAAATCCCATATCTTTTAATAACATTTCTTAGCCTGAAAGGGTGCAACATATTTCTGTTTTTTGGCTGATCTTGACTAACACTGTTCTTGGTGTTAAATTGTTCCTCTTTTTGGGATAATGGAAATTTTCCTTTCAGACACATGGATGTCTCACAAATATTCTGTTCTCATTGGAAACCGAGAGTGGATGTCTAGGAACGGCCTCCTTCTCAGGAGTGATATTGACGAAGCGATGACTGAGCACGAGCGCCGAGGCCGCACGGCCGTTCTTGTCGCTGTGGATGGTAGGCTTGAGGATTTGGATAGTCAGTGTTTTAGTTTAAAAAGGCCGAAGGAGATGCAGGGAAAAACTGGATGTGTTGAAACAGTTGGGCAGGATAGAAATCAATTGGGGGGGGGGATTATTTTCGAAGATGCACCTCATAACAATTCCAAACTACTCCAGAGTAGTTCTGAATGAGCATTTAGGAGTATTTATTTCATTTACAATAAATATAAATGCACAGTCATTTGACATTTTAAAATTTGTTAATCATTATCATTGACTATTTCTCTTTAAATAACGCAAATATATAAACTATCAAATAGTCTTGCCTTCAAATATTCAAAAGAGTTGATTCAATATGAGATGGACAGCAAATAAATTTATTAAATAAATGTAAATTGATTCTTATTAAACTCTTTTAGAAATAAAATATTCTGTTTGTTTCATTGGAATATTTCAATTGAATTTATTGGCCTCAATTGAACGTCACAATGAACCAGGGTTAACCCCAGCTTGGAGGATCCCAGTACCTTCTTGCTTCCATTTGCTTAAACAAGTTTAGGATTATTCTCTGTGAAGGTGTGTCATGATGTGCAAGTTGCGCCCTCCCTAGACATATACACATTTCCTGTGACTGTATGTTTCTAAAGACTAATTTTATGGCTGGGTGATTTTTCACATTTTCCTGCAAGAAAAAGCTGAAATAATGATTAAGTTTGACACATTTATTTTGCCTAAAAAATGAGAAATCTCCCCCCTCTTGATTCTTCACTGCTGCCCCTGTCTCAGACCCCCAGAAGAATAATTGCCCCTCCCTTTTGCAGATCTGTACCTTGTTTCAGTATTTACAACTGCAAAGAAGAGGAAGGTAATGCTTGAGCCTCCACTGGCACCCCCCCTGACTGATTCTGAGGCCTGAAGCAAGCCTAACCCAAGACTTTTTTCTCTTTTAATCCTAACCACGTCTTTGATTTTAAGTAACTTTGGCTCCTGGAAATCCTTCATACCATTCATATAAATCAGCGGTTCTCAACTTATGGGTCGCGACCCCATTTGGGGTCGATCGACCATTTCATAGGGGTCGCCAAGCAAGGCTGTCTGCCATTTTTTCCCCCCTTTTCCGGCGGGTGCCTTACCTCCCTTGGGCTGGGCCAGCTGGTGGTCGGCCTGCTCCGTCTCTGCTGCTTGCCAGCTACGCCTCGACCGGCGCAGGGGGCGGAACCACGCCTGCGCGGCGCTCCCGGGCAGGGAAAGTCCTCGACTTACGACCGGTTGGGGGTCGCGGCATTAAAAAGGTTGAGAACCACTGATATAAATGGAAATCATTCATATAAATGCAACATGATATATTTTTAAAATTTATGATCTTCCAATGCACCAGTGTTACTACTTTGTCACGCCGTTGTTTGTAGTCAGTCTGTGTGCTCTTGTAGCAACCAAGTGGCCCACTATTATTCCTCTTTAAACTTGTAGGCTGCCTGACTCTCAACAACTGTGGGCAGCTCACAACAATCAATAAATGGATTGTTTTATTGTAATTTATCAATAAAATCAGTAAAAGATAAAAATATAACTAAGTCAGATCCCAGTAAGTTTAGGAAGAAACATAATGGGAAAGTAGGCCTTCTCTAGCGGCATCTGTGCTTTCATGGGAACATGTTTGTCTTCTAGGGGAGTTGTGTGGTTTGGTAGCCATTGCTGACACTGTGAAGCCCGAAGCGGATCTCGCTGTACGGACTCTGAAGGGGATGGGTTTGGAGGTGGTCCTGATGACAGGGGACAATGGCAAAACTGCCAGGTCGATTGCTTCTCAGGTAAGCTGCTGGATGCCCAAGGGTTCCTTTGACGCCTCCAAGGCTTCATAATGCAGTCAACTTACGTTATATTTTCACTTTATCTTACATAACCCTCACTGATGATTGGAGATACGCCTTTGGAAAATCGGAATCTCTTGAAATGCAAGGTGGTCTTGGCTCACCCTGATTCCAGAGCAGAGTGCTGTTCCTGTGTCCTTCCTTTGGGGTTCTCAGCCTTCTCCCTTTTGTTTTTAGGTTGGCATCACAAAAGTATTTGCTGAAGTGCTCCCCTCCCACAAAGTTGCCAAAGTGAGGCAGCTGCAGGAAGAAGGAAAACGGGTGGCTATGGTGGGTGACGGCATCAATGATTCCCCAGCCCTGGCCATGGCTAATGTTGGCATTGCCATTGGCACGGGCACCGACGTGGCTATAGAAGCAGCTGACGTGGTTTTGATCAGGGTAAGTTGTGCGCTGGAGGGGAAGACTCTGCCCGAGAGCAGAGTTAGGCTAAGCCTGCATCAATTCGTGCATTTCCTTTCTGAAATGGAGAGGAAAAGTTATGTGGGAATCCAAAGGGCTTTAATTCAAGCTCTGCTTGATGGAAGGGTCCCTGTTCAAGGTGCCCCATAGGACACCTTCAAAGAAGGGAGCTCACTGCCTCTAGGCCAAGGGTGGCTCAGGAATTCTGGGAGTTGAAGTCCACGAGTCATAAAAGAGCCAAGGTTGCCTACCCCTGCTCTACGTTCAACTCTTAAATTGCTCTTACTTAGAACGTCCTCAGAGCACATCTTTTCTTCATTTGAGTAAAGAATGGATAATGTTTTGGTGGCCAGAAACCCTGTTTTGATGAAAGGGGAAAAGGCCCAGTGGGTAGAGAGGTGGCACAAAGTGAGCAGGCTAGAGCCAGGATTTTTAAAGATTATTTTCTATTTCCTTTTCTGGTAAAGTGCTTATTTATCGTTTGAGGCCTCTTCCATCTGACCTTAGGGACCCATTTTGTGTGTTACTTCTCCAGATGAGAGCCAGAAGCCCAGCAGTCTAGTGGGAAGTAGATTAAGGGAAAAGGGATGCAAAGCAGACCTGGGGGTTATAGGTTGTCCAGCCTGTCCCCTACGTGTTTTGATTATATATGTATTTCTAAAATGGTCCAGTGGTGTTGAGTTTGCTGAGGTCCAGAAAGTGATGTAGCTTTGTTAAGTGTTACCAGGAATCTAAAGCGTTGATTGATAGAATTAATCATGTTAAGTAATTTCTGAAACAACATATTTTGCAGAATGATTTGCTGGATGTGGTGGCAAGCATAGATTTATCACGGAAAACCGTTAAAAGGATACGGATCAACTTTGTCTTTGCTCTCATATACAATCTTATTGGTGTTCCTGTAGCTGCAGGTATGCAATGTTTCTTGGTGTTGAACTGCTGTATGGCATCCTCCACAAAAGGTCTTTAAATTGATGTGCATCCATCTCTTTAAGCAAAGCAAAAAGCTGCGGGAAACGTTACCTGAGAAAAGAAGCATTAAGTGGGCATCAGATTCCAGACTTTCCTCCCACTTTGCTTCAGTCAGTCTAGGTAGAGAAGGAGCAATTCTTGAGTTTAGGGAGGCAAAATAAATTTGGATGGGTAAGACATTTCTTCTGTGCAAGTGGCTTCCTGAATCCCCTCTTTTCGATTTGGGTTCTAGTTTCTCTTCTACCCCCCCCCCCCCAGTGACAGGAAATAGTTGTGAAGATGCTTCACGCTCTGTATTCCCATTGGTGCTTCCAAGTTTGAGTTCCGGCGCTCCCTTGACCTCTGGCGTGCTTGGCCCTAGGTGTCTTCCTGCCGATTGGTTTGGTTCTGCAGCCTTGGATGGGATCTGCAGCAATGGCAGCCTCCTCGGTGTCCGTGGTGTTGTCTTCTCTGCTGCTAAGACTGTGAGTAGCTCTGCAGACAGGAGGGGAGGAGCACCGGGTGACGTGTGCAGGAGAGGGGGAGGAAGCAAAACCACCGCTCATCTTCAGCCACTGCTCAGTGGTTCCATTAGTGAAAGGCCATCCAGAGCTTGATCTTTAGCTAAATGACGAGGAGAAGCCAGAATACATTTTAGTCGTCTGCCTTCCTTGTGGGCCGTATCCTTGATTGATTGATTGATTGATTGATTGATTGATTGAATTTATATACCGCCCTATCTCCCTTACGGGACTCAGGGCGGTGAACAGGCGATAATAAAAACCACAATAAATATACACAAATTTCTGTCTAAAATCAAATTAAATAACAGGCCTGCTCTAAAAATACCCCATAGTGGAAGAGCTGGGTATCAAGGACGGCAGAGTTGCTCTCTAGGTCTAGAGCACTGGTGGGTTGATGGGAGAGGAACCTTAGGAGAAGCTGCAGGCAAAACCAAGCAAAGCAGACTGGGATCAGAAGAGGCCCTCTCCTTGGGGGAAAGGGAACCATGCTGCCTTCAAAGTGCTCTGGGCCATCTCTGGACCAGGAAGGCTTGTAATAATGTCATGTTAAACAAAAATGTTTAGTAAATGTTAAAGCAGGAAGGAAAATCTTTTGAGGCTATAAAAGCCATAGCAGAGAAGTAACGAAGTTTCTTGACTGGGAGCAATTTGGTGGAAGAGTTGTGTCTTCAAACTTTGACACAAAGTTTGCTGCTAGTATCCCTCCCCCCCCCACAAATGTAAAAGGTGCCAAAAAGGTCAGCCTCACACATGGGGCTCTTGGGGCTGTAAGGTCTGGGCAATCCCTGGCTCAGGTTTTCAAGAACCACCCACCAATCTAGGTTATATTCCCCTTTAGTTATAAGAAGCCTACCTGTGAGAAGTACGAGCGCCATGCCTGCACCCAGGTGAGGTGCAAGAGCACTTCAGAAATCAGTGTCCATATTGGGATTGACGATGTTGGACCAGGGTCTCCGAAACTGAGCCTCATGGACCGAATTATCCACTACAGTCAAGCCTCCATCAGCTCCCTCTTCTCCGACAAGCGCTCCCTCAGCAACATTGCCCTGAGCGAGCCTGACAAGCATTCGCTTCTGGTTGGGGATTCCCGGGAGGAAGACGACACAACCGTGTGAAGAGGTGGAGCAGGGCCACGGTGTCTGCTGTTCGGGCATCTCTTGTGCTTGACCTGCTGAGCTGAATGAGGGCGCTCTGGGTTTTCTGCCCAGGGAGATCAGTGTGTTCCACACTGTTTTGCTCCTCTTAGCAGCCAGGATGGGACAAAAGATTCCAAAATGTAACAGAATCTGGAGCTACAATACTGAGTTGCTTTTCAAGTTGATTTTTTGGGAAGAAGCCAAAATAACAATATCTTCTGGTTGCTACAGCTCATAGTTTCTAGGTCTTGTTGTTATTTTCCCATTTGCCAAAGAAGTGTGCCTTACTTCTACCCGGAAGCAGAGGCATTCTCAGGAAAGGTCACGTCTGGATCTGGGAAAGAGCAGAGCAGTCCTCTTCTGAGCGCCTTGCCTCTTTGGCCAACTGCAGATTGGACCCTCCTCCTCCTGGGGCTGCTGGAAGGCAGTCAAGCCCTGGTACCTTCTGGGCCTCAGCAGGACTCCATCTTTTCTACCCCTTCCCACTCTGTCAGGTCTCTCCCCTTCTTTCTTTGGGTGGGAGTCCAGCAAAACCAGCCCTTCCTTTTTCCTCTGATCATCATCCAGACCCCGGAAGAACTCAAATTGCCAGTTGCCTCCCTCTCGTTCCCGGCCCTTTTCGTGGGCTCCTATCCTGCTAAGGATAATATGTCAGGCTTGCATAGCTCAGAGGATTCCGAGGCAGAGGGCTCTTGCACCTCCCTGCAAGATCTGTCCTCCTCCAACACTAACTGCAGAAGGCAGATTTGGCTTGATTATGAACAGCTGTTTGGAGAACAAAATTGGCCTTGCAGAAAACTTTTTGCTTTCATAATTTTGAAATAGTGAGTGCAAGAATTAGCCTTCTAAGATCCATGGTGTCTTTTTACCTGATGATGAACTTGTCTTCATTTAAAGCAATCAATCAGAATAGAGCTGGAAGGGACCTTGGAGGTCTTCTAGTCCAGCCCCTTGTCAGTGAGCAGTGAGATCCACTATCAGGGTCAAAGTTCATGAAAAAATATTTATTTAATTTTCAGTTTTGTTTAAGTCACAAAATTTAGGCATTTTAATACCCCTTATAAAACCATTTGGAATGTACAGCTAGAGAAAAATAGCCTAAATCATAGCTTTTAAAAATCCTTTCTCCTCTTTTAGCCCTCCGGGAATGGCCTCCAGAAGAGAAGAGAGAGGGCTCAGAAAATTGCAGGGATTGTGCTGCTGACAATACACAAACGAAGAACTGCAAAATTCTTGGTAGATTAGTGAAAATCCACTTTCAGAGATCTCTTGCACTATTTATTTATCTTTCCTGGGAATGCACACAAAAAGCATCCTCAGTGGCCCGTTGCATCCACTAAGGATTCCAAGAGAGAGTGGGAAAGTAAGATTGTGTTCAAAAAAACTTTAGCAGGGAGAATTAAACATGTCCTCCTGAAGGCCTCCTTCCTACGCCTGTTGGACGCAGGTTTTAGCTTTCTAGAGCAGAAGTCCCCAACCTTTTGGGCACCAGGGACTGGTTCCATGGAGAAAGGTTTTCCCACGGATCAGCAAGTGCGTGGTTTTGTGTGCTGCCTGAATCCCACGGATGGGGCTTTGCTTGTTTGTGTGGACCGGTTGCTGGCATGCCGCAGCCCGGTACCGGTCCACGGACCGGGGGTTGTGGATCCCTGATCTAGACCCTGATCCTGATCTTAACTGGAGTTTGATCGGGTTGTTAGGAAACGTGGCTCAGGTCTGGCTTACCCCTTTCCAAGATAGCACTTTCCAGATGTCTTTGGATTGTGGCGCCCGGCAACCTCAGCTGGGCCAGGGCATTGCAGCTCTTCCCATTCTCCTTGCTGGCCAGAAGACGGGCCCATGACAGGAGTAAGCCTCAGCTTTGAGGAGGGACCGTTGGCTGGCCCAGGCTCGGGGGGAGAACAGGCACTGATGCTTTTGAGACGGAGCAAAGTAAGTTTGGTTTTTTAAAAAGATCACATATAAAAAATTCTGTTCACAGAGCGGGGCATGTCTTATTATATATGGATGTAATCTGCCTCAGTTTAGTCAAATGAATTTCATAGTATGAAAACTGAAAATTCACATGGCGAACTGAATTTCGTAGTTTCAGGAGGAAATCATCCCTTTTTTCTAAATATCTTTTCTCATCCAGTTCTCTGCCATCCTGGCACGCTTTGGTAAGATTTTTAGAGTCTTTATCTTGATATATTTGTTAATAATGTTTTATACTTGGTTTTGTTTCAAAGAACCAAAAGTTGCTTCTTTGCCTTGAATGTACAATGCTCATCAAAAATGTAAAGTTACTGTTTCTAAAAAAAAAAAAAGTTTCTTTCCTGCCTCAAGCACGCTTGTTTATCAGGAATCTTAAATTATCAAATGTCAGCCTAACAGCTTCAAAAGCTGATTTTAGAACAAGCTATGCATTTCATTTAAATATATTTATTTTTGTTATTTGCTTCTGGTAGTTCCATGTATCTGAAACATGTTTTTCTGATTTATTCAAAGCAGACATACATGCAAGACAGGATTTTCCCCATGTCATTCCTTCCCGTTTTTCTCTGGCTTTAAATTCAAAATTCCCTTCCCTTCCTAGCTGGGTGTCCACTTCTTTTAAAACACGGCCATCCATCTCTCCCTTTGGTGTCCACCTCTATGCATTTCAAGCAGAACCCATTTTTTTAAAATAAAAATGCTGAAAAAATGCTCCAGGGAGGCCAGAGTGAGTGATGGCGCTTTTAATGTCTTTTAACCTCTTAGGTCTTCCAAGCCAGCCTCCATCACCTTAAAATGCACCGGATTTACTTCCTGGTTTCTGGCATCCAGCAGCATGGCTGGTGATAGTGCAAGTTGCAGTCCCAGCATTTCTTCAGGCACCCCAAGCCCCAAGGGGGGAGGCCTCCAGAGCAAGCTTCTCACGCCAGCAATGTGCAAATAGTTCTCAGCTTAGCAACCATAATTCAGACCAGAATTTTGGTCATAAGTAATTAACAGTCGTAAATTGAGGCACCCATATTACCTAACCCACTTTTTCAACTGTTTTTACAGTGGTGATTGAGGGAATCACATGGTCATTAAATGAATCCATTCTCCTGAATGGACATTTTCCCAAAAAGCATTGCAAACTGCAGTCACATGACCCTAGGACGCGTCAACTAGTTGGTTGCCAAGCACCCAAAATGAAGTCATTTGTGCGTGTGTTTTGTGTGTTTGTGACATTTTATGACAACTGGAAGTACTTTACAGCTCTAGTATTACTGGTCACAAGTCAAGGATGACCTATCTATCTATGTTATGCAAACATACTTCAATGCATCCAAAATTAAAATGATGCAGGGATTGTTTTATTGCATTTATGATGGAGATTTCTGAAGGTTTTATGTCTGTTCTGCAAATTCCATGGCGGCAGATATTTTATCTGCTGCTGCTCATCCCAGTCTTGTTAAGGAGGTCTATCTAATACAGACACCAGTTGATCAAACATTTTGGGTAGATTCAGAAAACAGCAAAGAGTCATTCTTCAGATTCCTTATGGTGATCAGAATTGTTTTTCACAAATGAAGGCAAATGTCTTTCCCTTTTTCGCCAGTTTGAAAAATTAGTTAAAAAGAAGAAGAAGCTAGAACTGTTTTTGCCTCTCTGAGCCTCTTTGCTTCCTGCAGTCAAAAAGCTGAAGTCCCAGATCTGCTGATTCCGTTTTCAGGAAACAGTCCAAGGTTGCTAAAAGAAAGCTAAAAAGAACTTTAAGCAATCTTGTGCAATATTAGTTTATATGAAGCATATGTCAACGATCTTCTCAAGAATGTGCCTTCACTTCTATAAATGTTATGCTGGAGCATTAAATGATGTGTTAAATTTTTCTTTTAATGATACTTTCTGTTTAGAACAATATATTGTAGCTAAATATTCTCATCCGTCAGAATTATTTATTGCATTCTTGAACCTAGTCTCCTTTCACAGAATTAAGGAGGATTTGAAAATCACAGTGTCCAGTGATCTCCCATCCAGGCTTCTGGTTTAAATACTTCTGGTACAAGAGTGGGCACTGCAAAGGCAAAATGGTTCACAGTTAGATAGTAGGAAAAGTTCCCTTGCAGCATTAGGATGAAATCAACTTCCTTGCATTTTTAACCCCCTTGTTTCTGGTTCCATCTCGTGGAGCAGCTCTGAACAATTCTGCCTCTTCTTCTCCATTTCAGCCTTCAGGTCCTTGAAGGAGGTCATCATGTCTCCCCAAAGTCTTAAGAGAAGGTTGAGCATACCCAACGCCTCCAACTTGTGGAGGGCCACAAATTCTCCACCAGAAGGCATCCCCCCCCCAAATATCCTAATATGCTTTTCCCTGACTTTACTAAAGAGATCCAGCAATGCAGAAATACTGCTCAAGGGAAGAAACATCAATATTTCAGGTTTCTGGCCATCTTTATCAAAATCATCCCATGCTTATGGATAGTTCTTGGTTAACAATAGAATTGGTACAGGAACTCAATCGTTAAGTGATATGATCATAAAGTTCAGTGACACAACTGTGTTAACTTAAAACAGCCATTCCAGTTGCAATTATTAGGGGAATCCCTTGCAGTCCATTAGGCATGACATCTCATGATTCCCATCTGTGATTTCCTGCTGTCTTCCCCAATGACTTGTTGGAAGCTGACAGTGGTCATTAACTAAGAGCTGCCTTGTATGGAAGCTGAAAAAAATCCACCTTAATTCTTGAAACTTTTGTGAAACCCTTTAAATTATTTGCTATTACATGAATTCATTTTCAGGTTACTAGATTTCTTTATCTGTGACTCATAGTGAATTTGTATTGACTTCAGACCAAAATATATAACTAAAAGTATGTCAGTTGCTATATCCTAAATAAAATTCTGAACACGCTCAAGCAGAATACTGTTTTCATCCCTTTCCTAAAGGATGAAAGAAAGACTACTCTTCTTGGAAGGGGGCAAGTTGTTCATAGTGAGGAGAGGGTGCTGGCATCAGGTTCAACCCTCCCTAGTTTGCACAAATATAAAGTGGGGACATTCAGACTTGAGTATTTTTGCTAGTATATCTGTTCCAATGAAAGTAGTCCTGACTTACATGGTATTGGTTTCTTTGTCTGGTCTATTGTAGGACTGACACGGCGCCACCTAACACAGTTTTCTGTGGTCTTAACAATGACAAGGGTCACTGTCTTCATTGGTTTTTGGGCAGGAAAGGATATAACTAGCAGATCAACTAAAGATGGCTGAAGGATCTCTTGGCCAGCATGAGTCAGAATTCTCAGATTACTTATTCTTCCGGGGAAGTGTGACTCCTCCCAGAGCAGCAGATGGAACCAGAACAATATCTCCATCTTGCTGAAATTCAGTCTTGAGCCTATCTGTTCTGACCCAACTAACACACAAGGCAATGGGTGTGAGTAGAATATGTTTCTTGCACCATTCATTATAACAATATCTCCAAAACTCCCCCGTGTCACAAACTCCCTGTCAACCCACGGCATTAAAGAGCAAAAGAAACTCCTGGGACATTTTTTCTCCAAGAGTATAACTTTACTGAAAAGCCTTATGGGTACAGAAGTAGAAAAGCCAGTTCTGACGTTTTTGCATGCAAACAGCATAGGAAAACTTTTCCTCCCCCCCCCCCCAACCCAGACCTCCCATTGTCCACCAATCTATTGCACTTGCTTTATTCTGGAAACGGCCTGTCTGCCTCAGACGGTTCTTTCAGGCGGGACACTTGCATTCCAGAGGTCCCTCCCAAACCTCCCTTACATTCCGATGCCTTCCCTCCCCTTCCTGTTACTGTTGTCTGGTTGTGAGCAGGGTTGTGTAGCAAGTCAACCATGACACTCCCAAGCAGTTCAATGAATAAGCAGTTCTTTGAGTGCTTCTGGGTCCCGTGTCTGATGGCCCCTATTCCAGCTCATCCTTCTCCGAATCAGCAACCGATGGGGCCATCACAGTATCCTGTCCCACCTCAATTTTCACAGCCTCCAGGCTCTGGGTAGGAATTTCCACCAAGTTTGCTTGGCCTGTGGGGATGAGATATATTGATGATGCTTAATTCCAAAGCAAAGTTTTATCTATTCTGAGTGGTTGTTTTATGTAGAAAATAGTATATGGGTGAAGGCTGAGCCTGGGGCAGCCTGCTTTAGTGTCCAAGACCTCGATCTGCTTCCAATACCACTCCTTCCAAGTAGAATTGCTGCCTTTACAAAGGAGAGGGACCACTATAAAACAGAGCCTTCAATCCCCAAGCCTTGCGAGCAGCCCCAAAGGATACCATACTGATTGCTATCCAAAACCATTGAGTATCTTAACAAGACAAAGAGTGGTACGCCACTGCCATCTCAAGTCCCGCTGTCAGTCGTTTACAACCGTGACCAACATTGTTTCCAGCTCAGGCCCCGATAATCCACTCATCCAGGACATTTCTTCCCGATGCATGAGAAACCATGTACAATGGCCAGCAGAGGGAACTGCTTGGTCCTACAGAATCCAAAAGGAACGAGTCAGCTGGAATAATGCTATTGGCCAGCATTTTGCAGACATAACGAATGCAGAGAAGTATTGGAACTTTACTGTTTTCAATCTGCCTTAATGTAGACCAGGGGTAGTCAACCTTGGCTCTTTTATGACTCGTGGACTTCAATTCCCAGAATTCCTGAGCCAGCTTAGCTGGCTCAGGAATTCTGGGAGTTGAAGTCCACGAGTCATAAAAGAGCCAAGGTTGACTACCCCTGATGTAGACCCAAAAGTGGTTCATACTGACTGGACATCCTGTTCACATCCAGCATTGCTTCATCTCCTTCACCGTTGATGGCAGAAGGCCCCCTGGTGGGAGCTTAGCAGAACAGCTCCCAAAGTGTCCAGCTGGATAGAGTAAATTGAGCAGGAATGTATCCATGTACCCAGAAGAGGTCACCTTACAAGCCACCCTTCTCCCTTCTGGTGCCATACAGATGAGTTAAAAATGCATCGCCACCAGCTGAGACATTTCCTAGAAGATGGGAAATTCCAGAGAAACTCCCGTTTTACGCACACACGTATTAACATAGAGTTGTCTGACAACTCTAAAGAGTGTTTGCTTAAATGTGGTCTCGGTATTACAGAATACAGCATAACAGAGTTGGAAGGGTCCTTGGAGGTTTAGTCCAACCCCCTGTCCAAGCAGCAAACCCTATACCATTCCAGACAAATTACTCTCCAATCCCTTTATTATTTATTTTATTAGCAGTAACTGGCCAACTTTGTGTGTGCTGCGAAGTTGTCCATCAATCTCGACTCAACAGACTTGGGAACCAGAAGATCATATACAGAATTGGATAAAATTGCTGAAGAGAGAATTTTGCAACCCTGGAATTGCAGCATGTAGAGCAGAGGATCACACGGGCTTCCTACCCCGATCCTGAACGTTTCAACCATCAGAAATGGAACAGCAGCAGCAAAAGGCCAACAACAGCAATGCTCTTTTCCCAGTAGAAATCCAGAATGATGCTGGTGCAAAGAATTCATATCGTGTACACCCTATTGCCGTGGTGGCGAACCTATGGCATGTGTGCCAAAGGTGGCACACAGAGCCCTCTCTGTGGGCACGCGCGCCATCGCCCCAGTCCTAGGCCTTCAGCTGGGTTTTATAAAACCTTTTCGCTTTAGGCCTCTGCTGCCGTGTGCAAAAAAAAAAGGTTCAATCAGTCAATTTCAACTTCTCGCGGGGAAAAAAAGATCTTGCAAAGTTGGAATTGATTGATTGAACTTTTTAGTCCCACCTAGTCTGCCGTTACCCTCGCAGCCATGCCCACATAATGGGCCACGCCCACCCAATTGACCACACCCACCCAATGGGCCATGCCCACCCGGCACCCGATGATACATAAGTGGGTTTTGGGTTGCAGTTTAGGCACTCGGTCTCTAAAAGGTTTGCCATCCCTGCCCTATTGAAACAAGATACTTAACAAGATACAAACACAGTTTGGTTGTTGTCTATTCAAGCTCACTAAAGTGATAAGAAGTTTGCCTTGGGTTGAATTCTGTGCCTAACTTAAGAGACATTTGTGCATCTTGCTGTCGCCTCCTGGGATATTTGTGGTGCCAGTTACTTATGGGTCCTTCTGCCTTTCCAGAGAAGGCAGGTGGTGCAGGCAGGGATCCGGCATCAAAGAACTGGGGAATAAACAATACTCATATGTAAATGTTCAAATAATGGCAAAGAGGAAGAGAAAAGAGCGAGAGAAACCAATAAACTAAAATTTGCTCTTAACCATGTAAAGGGATCTGTACAATCCCAGCAGCTACATTTCTAGTGTGTGAAGCTTCTGCAATCCTGATCTGTTTGCAATCTTAGTCCAGTCTGTGGTGCAGGTGGCATAATCAGATTTGCCTTGAAGAGTATTTGGGCTCCCCTGAGGCAGAGGAGATGCCCTCAGAGCCAGAAGACATGCGGGAAGCCAGGAAATGGATTAATTCAAGAACCTTGATAACATTTTAAGTGAACACTTAAGACTTCCTTACACATCATCTTAATTCCCACATTAAGTCATTGTTTGCTTAATGTATCAAAAAGCCACAATGGGTTTCCAAGTACATTTTTCAAAGCCCAAAAGCATACCAAGAGAGGTAAAAAGTCACACTTGTGGCTTAAGACTGTGTGTGAAGCCAACCCACATCCTTTTCCGTTTTAGTCCAGTCTTCTGCTCTCCCAAAAGGCAGACCCTGCCTCCAGGAGGCCCACAAGGGCAGGCTGGAATTGAGGTAATCTGCCTCTAGAAATTCTTGGTTGCCACTCTACTAATCCACTCTTAAAAACAGCCAAATTGGATGGTGTGTGGATGAATGCCAGGTTTTAAGAGACAATCTACAATGTTCTTCCTTTAGTATATCCTGAATCTCCCTATCCCCAATTTGACTTAATTGCATGATCCCATGTCAAGAAAGGAAAACCAAATTTATTTCTGCTGACTAGCATAATTTTATATCCATTTATGAAATTTCCATTGGCTTTTTATTCTAACCCCCAAATCCCCCAGAGATTGAAATGTTACAATTGTTCCACCCTCTTAGTTATCCTGATTACCTCTTTCTCCTGTTCAATGTAGAGTCAGACTCAATGCAAAATTCCACATATTTTTGTACTTGATTATTTACATACAGGCATTACATACATCTCTATCTATTTGCCTTTTGTCATAAGCAAAAATATGGAAAGACAGGAGGTCTTTAGCTACAGGAAATGTAGCTAAATATCACTATACATGGTATTTCTCCCAATCAGAAAATCCTAGGGCTGGAAGGGACCTTGGGGGTTTTCTAGTCCAGCCCCTTGCTCAAGGGATGAGCCTTATGCCATCCCAGTCAAATGGTTGTCCAGTTTATAGTTGAAAACTTCCAGCAATGGAGCACCCACAACCCCAGGAGGAAAGCTACTCCACTGGTTAATTGTTCTCAAGTCAGGAAATTTTTTCTCAGAACAAAATTGGATCCTTTTTAACGAGCTTCTACTCCTTTACTCCCACCATGTTCAGACATCACTTTGTAACTTGTCTTTTGATCTTTAAATTTTTCACTTCTTTTTTTGAAGGTCTCCCACTCCACACAACCACATCCCCATCCTGACCACTTGTTCTTCATAAACTCTTTGTATGTGTAACCCGCTCAAACTGCCTTTTTCATATGCCTGCCCATTTTTGAATACAATCCACATTAACTGATCACCTATTTATTCTTGACCTTATCTCTTTTGATTTAATACCGTGTTTCCCCAAAAATAAGACCACCCCAAAAATAAGCCCAAGCCTGTTTTTTTTGGGGGGTGGGCCTAATATAAGCCCTACCCCAAAAATAAGCCCGGGAAGGGGGGTTGGGCATGGCCAGCACAAGCGGCGGCGAGCACGCAGGGGCTGATGGTGTCCGGCAGCAGCTGCAGCCCCCTGGCCTCTGGGCACAAGGCAGGTAAGTCCGGAGGCGGAGGCGGAGGCGGGGGGAGGCAAGCGATCCGGGCTGATCCTTTCACCCAGCGGGAGACTGGAAGCTTCCTCTGCTTGCAAATGGGGCTAATCGCTCTGTTCCCAAGCGCCCCATTTGCAAGCAGACGAAGCTTCCAGTCTCCCTCTGGGCAAAAAGTGTTTGGCCCCCTGTGGGGCACTTGGGGGCAGCTCCACCCCCTCCCCACCTGCCTCGCCTCGTGGCAGTGGCACAGTGCGGGGTGCCAAGCAACCTCCTAAAGGCAGAGCCACAAGAGATGGCAACACACATGGAGCATGCCAACCAACCATGGGGGGGGGGCTTAGCCTGGCTCATGCAGATTGGCAGTTCCTAACTTGATGTCGCCCCTTGGTGTGGTTTAGACTGTAGCTTTTGTCATGTCCAGCTACTGCTCCCAACGCATCTGAAGGGCAGAAAATAGGTGAAACTACACAGAATACCGCAGGGTGTTTTTGTGTGGCTATTTAACTGCTAGGAAGGAAAAAAAAACCCCACTCCAAGCATTTTCTGAAACAAAAGTATTTTCTTCATACTGGAAATAAAGTACAATTACAATGATCATGGGAGCCGCATTCTAGACATGGACACGCGTTCCTACACAGGTACAGAGAAAATACATAGTTGCACCAAGTGGAAAAAAAAACATTTGACATGTTTAGAACTCAGCCACATCTCCAGGTTCAACATGTTCACAAGCAAAGAAATTGGCATTTCCCAAACAACTCGGCATTCTGGCACCTCCAGGCTCACAGGACTGTTCCTCATTGGATAAAAACTGCAGGACTACACAGCTTTCCATTACACAACTTTGTATATCCTTGCTTCTATTACCCGAGTTTGTGTTAAACTCTTAGTCTAAGCTTGGTTTCAGCACAACCCCGAGGGATACAGCATCCTGCCTAGACTCATTTTCATCAGAAATCAGCTCTGCAGGAGGGGAGAAATGGTGGGTGCCCCCCAACCCCTGAAAGGATCCTATATATCCCACCATCTGGGTTCTACCAGGCAAAGCAACCTTCCCAAAAACTCCCCAGAAGAAAAGGCACAGCTATATGACAATTGTAAGGAAAAGATTGCAACTTGTTCAAGCAAAGCAAAAGCTCAGTTTTCTTAAACACACCAAATGTTGGATGCTTAAGGCACTTCTCAGGAGGGAGAGGGTGTATTTCAAATGCTAAGGAGTTACAGGCTCTCATGTGCTTTGGCCTTACCCAAATTAATATTCTGTGAGTACTGCAAAAAAAGATGTCTGCTAATTTAAGGAGAATTAGCTCCCCTCCCCCATTCCACTCTAATTTAATGTTATAGGCAAGAAATTATTCAAAATCATGGAGTATTTAGCAGGACGTGTCCCTTTCACCAAGAAAAGCACCTAATGTAACAGGCCGGCCATTAAAAGGCTCCTTCTCAAGGACAAGAAAGTAAAGCCTACTCAAAGGACAATTGGCTTAGTCCAGATGTGCAAAGATTACAAAACTTGCTCTTTGCTTTTCAGTGAAGTTCCCCAATTTAATATACATCAATGTGGTATTTATTTGGACAGTCATTAACATGTAAATATATTTCTACTAGAAACTAAATGAAAATACTAAAATGTACTTTTGCAGTCTTGACTACCCCGATGTACAAAATTTACTGAATTCCCAAAGTATACCTGTGGCTGGAAGTATGGGCTAGGGAATAGAAAACCCCAAAGTTTAATATCTATTTTATTTTATTGTGCGGAAAGGAGCATTTCAGAAAATTGCAAGTGTTTTGATCCACCTTTTATTATTTCTGAAAATACTGACCCTGTTGTAAATATTGCCTCGAGTAAGGCACTAAATCATAATATACAAGGATTCAGAGATACAGTTAAACCATTTGGGAATGAAAAAGTGGAAAAAGGCCTTTCAGCCTCTGTGTTCAGAGAGCGCCCTGAAGCCTCCGCCTGGTCCATCCAGGGGAATGAATGAATGAATGAATGACCTGGGCTTCCTCAGGACTGAGCAGGCTCCATGCAGAAGCAGTTCCTCACAGGCTTCATCATCCAAAACTGGACAGTGGATATTATTCCTTATCATGATGCATGAAAATGACATCCCCTAAAACTTCAAGATATCAGACAAGACACAAACATTAAAGAAAAAAAATCTAAGTGCAGGCACATTGTGAAAGTCTGGATTTTTTTTCTCCAGTTCTGGAATGTTTTACAAAAATGGGACATTCATCTCAGAAGGAAAGCATGGAAAGGAAGTTTCCCTCCTCCTCTTCGAGGCTCAAAGATTTTAAGGAAACCAGAGACTTCAGGAAATTCAATACTCAAAACGTGGCAGCCCCATTGCCCGTCTTGCAAAAATAGCGGACTCTGGCTTGGAAAGGCATTATGGATATCCAGAGAGCTAACAAGTTTCTCTTAAATACAAACTTTTTAAAAAATACTGTAATTTTAAAAATGTAGTGCATTTAAGACCTTGGTTTACTTTCATCCAGCTGCTACCAGATCCAGTAATTTAAAAAAAAAGGTAAGAAAAACAATTCTTAATCTAGTTTAATAATTTTGGAACAAATTATAAGTTAAGCTGTTCATAACTTTGAGAGAAAAGTATATACACAAATAAAAAAGGTTCCTTTATGAGACAGTAACTGTAATTTCTATCTTAAAAAGTATCCGAAGAAATTATTCTTGCTACGTCTTCAGCACGTTCTTTTCAAATAAGATACTCCACCATTTCTCCTTCTTTGAGGTCCTGCCCCAAATTTTGAGGTGAGTTTTTCCTTTCTAGGGTGCTGGAATGGAAAACAGAGCCATCTGCAGATACGAGAAGGAGAAGGCAAAGTGTGACCATGATTAAATGGAAAAAAGGCTGGTGAGAAAAGTACTCTTGAAATCAACGGGCAAAACATTCATCATTTATGACCAGGTTTCACTGGCCATCTGTTTATCTAACCAACCCTTTTAACACAAACCTCGGTTGTTGGGAAGAGATGGTCAAAATGGGTGTGGCTTTACTTGACACCCTTAGCATGAGGTTCCCACAAACAAAGAGGGTGCGGGAGATCCTGCAACGAGGAGGGGGTGACACACTCCTACTTGGCCTCTTGGAAGAGCTTCAACACCAAAACCACAGGATTGACTGCCTGAGGCCTGTGTGGCTCTTTTGGGGGGGTCTAGCTCGCTCAATGCTGCCATGCCCATTTTCTGTGGCTTTGTCAAAAACAAAAACCACGGCAGCTTTCAAAAGTCGCATCCTCCAGTTGGAATGAAACTACAGGGACTCCTCATTTAGCAACTGTCTGAAGTTAATGCCAGTGATGAGGAAGGAACTTTGCAATCCATCCCCACATTTACAATCTTCGTATGTCTACAAAACAAAGGAATGCTGACGTCAGATCGTTAGCACATATGTGCTTTCTCTTAGTGACCACTTTGCTTAATGACCCAGTTGCTTGTCCCAATTTTGCTCGCTAGACGAAGATGACCTGCACAATTCCCAGACAACTCAGCCAGGAAGGCCAGGAATTCTGGGGTCCCAACACACACTGGGGACGAGCAGTGCACATGTGGCCAACCCTGTCACTACCTGATTGCTCCGCTCCTACTGGCGCTTCCTGACCAAAAGTGTGAAGTCCAGATTGCCCGGAGGGAGCGGCTGCATCCCAGAGGAGCAAGAGAGTTTGCTTGGAAGAGGTTCGAGGCAGCTCCTCCCTCTCAGTTCTCAGAGTACATCTTTAAAGATGCAAGTAGTTTGCATTAGTTTGGCAAGATTTCTGTCTATAGGTGAGCAACAATAAAGGAAACTGCTTAGAAGAAACTTTGTCTTTGGGCCCGGACTTCAGGCAGTTTTGGGGAGCAGGACCCAGCAGTGGAGGATGAGACACAGGCCAGTTTGCTTGACCTCTACCATGTCCAGTGCTGGAGACCCAACTGAAAGTAACACCCCTCCATACCTGATTTGTCTGCCCCGTAGGCCAGATTCACCATTGGGAGTCTTCCTGCTGTGGGGGGCGCAGGGGAGGCGGCAGGGGCCTTGCTCTGCTCACTGCCCCGGTCCGTCTGAGTGCTGCAGTCCCGACTGCCCGTTTTGGAGTGCCCAGAGAGCAGCGGCGTGGAGGGAAGAACCGGTGAGGGGGTGGAAGGGATGGACTCCGAGCGGCATTCTGTTCCCAGCAGAACACCTGGCAGGGAAGAGGGGTGGGTGGTTACTTCAGGTTTGGCTCTGCCATGGGCTGCTGACCCTTGCCTATTCCACCCTCCAGGAAACCCACTTTACCAAGCAAGCAAGCAAGCAAGCATGTGCATGATTGAGAAAGGAAGCAGGTTTGCAACTGCTGGTTGTATAAATTGCAGTCTCCAAGCAGAGGTGAAGTCCTTATTGGCAATCTATAAGGCAGCCAATAATCCTCATTTATCCTTATAGTCTGTCAGCTTATCTTTAACTTCCCAGATGCCAGAAGCAACTTTCAAAATCTTTGTTAAAATGTAAATCTTGCAAGCAGCATCCTTAAAAACATCATGGGGAGTAGGAAAAAGATCAATAGCAATATAGATAAGTTAGAGATTACACTGCTCTCTATGTAATTATATACATAGATTCTTTCTCCTTTTAGATTTTTTTACTTGATTAATAAATATACATTTATTGGAAAAAATTAAGTATGTATAAATTTGGAATGATTTGCTCAATCTACATGGAACAAAATTTCATAATTTGTGTACTCCCATGTACTTCTAATTTGTGGCAAATAAAAGCATGTAGGTCTTCGCTTCGGCCGCTAGAGGTCTGCATGCCCCAAATGGTAGATCTTTACGCCCTCTGGGGGTGGTGCAATATTTCATAGCAAATAATGATAATGGAAATTAGAAACTAAAAATTTACTTAATAATGTTTTTAGTGAATTTTTTGTGTTTCGTGATTTTAATCAAAACAAATTTATGCTCCAAGACTAAACATTTTAGGAGATTGATCTTTAAATAATAAAATATATACTAGCATTCAGCTCTGAGATTTAAAAGACATGTAAACATCATTTTTGGGGGGTTAAAAATAACTTCTGCTTCTCTGGTTAATCTTTCCTCAATAAAATGCAGAGCACTCACTGTATAACTCTTACAACTTCTACTTACTAACATGGTATCTTTGTATTAATTTTTTCCTTTGGCTTGTTTATTAAAAAAAACCCTAAACAATCACCTAAGCTGCCTTTCCAGCTCTTGTCCTCCCTCTTCTCTTCCAGGATGGGGGTGCTGCTGAGTGTGGAGGAGTGGGAGAGCAAGCCGGAGCCAGCGTTGGAGATGGAGATGAGGGACTTGGCAGGCCGCATGGAAGACAGCTGGTCAGTCTTGCTGGCCTCCTTCCGGGACCGCTGCTGAAGGACCTTGATCATGGCGTCCTTCTCAATGATCTGCGCATGAAGAGTCTTGATTCTAAGGTGGGATACAAGAGCAGCCTCCTCATTTCAGTCACCCCCATGTTTTTCAGGCTATATAAGCTGAATGTGCTGCCTGGGTGTGTAAGCCAAGGGACCTTCCAAAGAAGCCCTGCCAAGCCACATTAGCCTCAACCTAACATTTCCAAAAGTGGCGTGGAGGAATTTCAATAACTCCAGGAAACACACTGAAAAGGGAGAATACCGAAACTAGAGACTCATTCCATCTACAAAGGCAAGAGATGGATCCAACCCTTTCCTCAAGTGGGATTCTCCCCCTCCTCCCACAACCTCCTCTTGGCCAACTGAAAGGCCCCGATCCCTCTCAGAATGGAGAACTGACACTGGCCATTTAGCTAATGAGCAGAAATGTCAAATATCGCCTTCCTCCTCCTGATTGGAAGACAGGTTACTCCATTGCTTTGCTTTATCTCTTGGGGAAATGCTAGAATGTGGGTTGCCAACGTATTTTCCTGCCTTTCACCCTCTGAGTATTAAAAACAGGCAGGAGAACAAGATTCATCACTCATTTACATGATGAAGACACTGTGTGTCCGCAATTTCCCAAGCATGTGCACCCCAAAGAGCAGTGCAGGACCAGGTTCTCCTTTTGAATGCTCTCTGAAAACAGGGCGCCTTCAAAGGGCCTCTTCATGGGGCTTAACAGCTAGCTGGGGCCACTGCAAGCACGGGCTTTCCCTGAAGCCTAAACCATTCAGGACTTTCTGTCAACTTCTGAAATGAACCGGGCTGAAGCCATCTTTGTCATTCCAAGTTGCCACATTGGTTAGGAGGAAGGAGGGAGGGAAGAAAACAAAAGTATTGCTAGACTAAAGTCAAAGCGGTCCCGTGGGAACCAAAGTCATCCCCATAGGAGTTGGAAGGTGGAGAGAAGGTGTGTCACGGAGCCCACCAATTGCTTTCCTTGGGTAGCATGATCAATCGCATAGTAGAGGGGAGGGAATTGTTACATTTAATTATATTGAATCCCTGGGGGGGATTTTAGACTTGGTTTCACTTTTGACTGTGCCCATATTATGTTGAGGAAACTTCAAGCCTCAGAGTTCTGATTTATTTGGTTTCATTAGTTGGAACCTTGACATTTTCTAGGTCAATACAATCATCTTATTTATGCTTGACAAGCAAATGGTCACTGATGTAGATCTTTCAGTTCTGGAATCCTGTGCTCTTTCTACCTCACGCTAGTTAGTTACTCTACTTTGTGTCAACTCCAACTTGGCCACTTTTCAAAAGTAGCCCATACAGAACATCCTATGGTGGAATGTGGTCTGGATTCCCAGGAGGGAGGGAGGGGTTGCATCCCAGAGGACCAAGAATCAGTTTAGATAATTTGGTTGGGAGGAAGAGGGTCAAGATAGCTCCTAGCCTAGAGGTTCACAGAGTATATCTTTAATGAGGTAAGTACTTACTTTAATTTGGCAAGATTTCTGCCTATGGGTGAGGAACAATAAAAAAAACTGCTTAAAAGTAACTCTCTGTATCTTTCTTGGTTTTTGGAGCCTGACACTTCCTGAGCAGTCAAGACTTTATGGATTTCTGGGTAATTAAGAATTCTGGACTTCAGAAGCAGCTGCTCCTTACCTGCCCTCCATGTCAAGGCACCTCCGGTTAGCCAGAAGGATCTCCTCCTCTTCCTTCTGGATGCGAGCTTCCAGGGAAGTGTCGTAGCTGGTGTTGGGCGAAGGGCTGATGACAGAGGTGTCTCTGCAAACAGTATTGGATGGAGAGTCAGGGATCCCTGCTTGGCTTTTAGACATAGAAGCTTCCCATTTATCAGACAAGAAGGAACCCAACTTGTTCCATCATCAGCAGAACTGCAAAATGCAGCTGGTTGAATTAGGCCATTTCAACCATTGGAGACCAGGGGGAAACAAGATAATCCAATTTCCCCTGCAAAAGAAATCCCCATATACAGAAAAAAAAATAGTTTGTTAGATTCTGAGATGCAAGAAAATATGTGTGTCTTTAGTTTAAATGACCAGAACAGGAACAGAGAGAGAATGGCTAGTGGGCATATGTGACTCAGGGTGGCATAAGATTTCAATCTCCTCCCCCTCCCCAAATGATAGGGATAAGGCCCCTTGGGGTCTTTGTTGAATCTGGGCTGTGCTGGAGGGCCACCATCAGATCCCCCCCCCCAAATAGATTGTTGAATGGGGGGGCTGGGAGAAGGGCAGGGCCGCTTGCCTGGGTGGGTGGGAGGCAGAGGCAACGGATTCAAGTGGTGAGGGCCATGGGGCAAGATGGGAGCCAAAAGGGAAGATGCCCCTCTGAGCTCATGCCCAGACCATGGACGGTGGACCCTGGGAAGCTCAAACCTTTGGCTGCTGCTGATGGATGCCAGGTCAGTCAACAATAAAGCACCTCCCTCATTTGTGAGGAAGAACAACTGACCTGGCGTGCCTCACTGTGAGAGAGATCTTGGAGACCTAGTGGACAATGGCTTAGATCTGAGCCAGCAGCAGCAGCCAATAAAGCCAATGCAGTCCTAGGTTTCATTAACAGAGGGATAGAATCAAGATCACGTGAAGTATTAGTATCGCTTTATAAAGTGTTATTAAGCCCACACTTGGAGTACTGCATCCAGTTGTGGCCACTGTATTATAAAAAAGATGTTGAGAGTCTGGAAAAGAGCAACAGATGATTAGGGGCTGGAGCTAAAACATATGAAGAACGAAGGAATTGGCTATGTCTAGTTTAGTGAAAAGAAGGAGTAGGACGTCACATGATAGCAGTCTTCCAATATTGGAGGGGCTGCCACAAGGAAAACAACGGATGGAAACTAATCAAAGATCTCTCCCTAGAATCTAGCAACCTAGAACTAGGGAGAAACTTCTAACAGTGAGAACAATTAACTAGTGGAACGTCTTGCCATCACTGGAGGCTTTTAAGACTGGACAGTCACTTGTCTGGAATGGTCTAGGGTCTCCTGCTTGTGCAGAGGGTTGGACTAGAAGACCTCCAAGGTCCCTTCCAACTCTGTTCTGTTCTTTTCTGTTCTCAGCAGCCTTTGATACCATTGACCAAGGTATCCTTTTGCAGCAGCTACAGGGACTGGGGCTGGGTGGCACTGTCTTGTGCTGATTCAGCTCCTTTCTCCAAGGCTGGCCCCAGTTGGTGTTAATAGGGAGTGAGAGAGAGGTCCAGCTCTCGGCCACTCTTTTGTGGAGTGCTGCAGGACTCGGTAATTTCTCCACTCCTTTTCAGCCTCTACAGGAAACTGCTGGGTGAGATCATCCGTCACCCTGGGATGAGAGAGCATCAGTACACTGGTGCTACAGCGCTGTACGTTTCCATCCCTGGTGATCCGAGCGATGCTGTGATTCCCCTCTCTCAGTGCCTGGAGGCTGCAAGGATCTGCATGGGGACAACAGGCTTCAGCTGAACCCAGGCAAGATGGGGCGGAGGGGAGTGCAAGGGACCTCTAGATCTAATGGCTTATAATTATTAGTGCTGGATGGGGTTGGACAATCCCAGACAGATTGCAGTATGCAAACTGGACTGACTTAAAGAGCAGGTAGTAGTCGTGGCTAGGAGGACCTTTGGGCAACTTTGCATTGTGCACCAGTTGCGCCCTTACCTGGATCCTGAGACCCTGCGCATGGTCACTCATGCCCTAGTCATCTCTTGGCTGGATTACTGCAACATGCTCTAGCCTTAGGGCTATCCTTGGAGAATATTCTGAAGCTGCAGTTGGTGCAGAATGCAGTAGCACAAACAGTCCTGGGAGCTCCTAAGACTGCACAAAAAACACCATTATTGCACCAGTTGCATTGGTTGCCAGTTTGCTTCTGGATCCAATGCAAGGTGTTGGTGTTACCTTTAAAACTCTACATCAGAGGTCCCCAACCTTTTGGGCACCAGGGACCAGTTCCGGGGAGAGAGGTTTTCTGCAGAATGGAGGGGGGCCCTGGTTTTGTACACTTCCTGCACCCCACGGATGGGGCTTTGCTTGTTTGTGTGGACCGGTTGCTGGCATGCCGCGGCCCGGTACTGGTCCACGGACCGGGGATTGGGGACCCCTGCTCTACATGGCATGGGTCCAGGGTATCTGAGGAGTTGTCTTTCCCTGGTGGGACAAGTCTGCCCCACTTGTGCCAGCAGAAGAGGCCAAGGAACTGAGGCAGATAGAATCAAGGAGGAGAGTCTTTTCTTCCCCTGGAGGGGAGAACTGCCCCTCCTTTGGGGTCTTCCAAAAGGGTATCAAAACCTGGCCTTGCCGGCTGGCCTGGGACCCCCAGGGGGGGCGCTCACTGCTGGAGGCGGCTGACAGGGTAAGAAGATCTCATCACTGTCCCAAATGTCTGGTGGCCTTTATAGCCGTGGTTTTAGTGCAGTTTTTAATAATATTTTAATGTCAGTTCATTTTAATCTTTTAACTATTTTTCATTTATTTCTATAATTTGTAAGCTACCCAGAGTCACCTTGCAGGGGAGATGGGAGGCATAGAAATGAATGAAATGAATAAATTGTATTAACCTTTGGGGAGATTTTGGTGAGGCATAAAAAATGAAACGAGCCCAAAGCTTTTCCTTTGAAAAGCAGCGGGCAAAGTGGAGGGTGGACTGAAGAGAGAGCCTGCAACGTCTCAGGGGAAAAGGAAGGAACTGCTTGTAACAGTTTGAGAAAGTGCCGGTGTGCTATTTCCCTCTGCCGAAGTTGCTGGCTCCCCATTGTGGGAGGGAAGCAGAGCAATCTTCTTTGATTTGGGGGATCAAATGAAGCAAGATTGAACTTTGACAAACCTGGAAGACCAACCAGTTGTTTACTAGACAAGGGTCTGTGTGGCGGTCGACTTCCTCGGATGCTGAGAGGAACACTGAATATACAACTAGCAGGGGGGAGGAAAGGCGGGTGCCCTCAAGAATTAATGGATTAATTTTAAGATTTCCCTTCTTAAAAATAAATTTCATTGCGTGAGAGCTCAGTTACAATTCATTAGATTTTGTTCCATCTCACAAAGACCAAGATTGAAATTGGATTCACATCTAACTGCTCTTTGGTTGGTAATCTTCTCTCTCACCTCTCCTCCCTGTTGACCTTTCCATTTGGTTCCATAGTTCAGTTTAGCAGACCTCAGTCAAGATTAGACTCCATCATCAAAATGCAATCTGATCCAAGAAGCTTTACAATAAACTACCCTGAAAGTGTCCATGGACCTTCATGGGTATAAATTCATTCAATTGAATTGTTAAGCAAACTTATGCTCAATAAAAACTGGAACTAAAATAGCCATTGTATTGGTAGAAAGAAGGAAAATAGAAAATAGAATCCATTGCTAGAAACAAACCATTTCAAAATTCATCACCACTGTCAGCTCTTGGGGGGGGGATTAAGCTGGCAAATGGAGCTTTCAAATCAATTTTACACTCTGCTGAAAATTAGATACTTAAGTGGCTAACACTGGTAAGATCAGAAGGTGTAGATATTTGGTTTAATGGAGACACACATAAAATCCATCCCATTTTTTTTTTTAATGGAACCCAAATGGTTCCAGCTTTTTGAAAAAAAAAGAAGGAAGATATATATTTGAAAGGGGATACAAATTGGAGAGCATAATAAGTTATAGACTAGAAATGGAAAGGAAGAACTTAGGTAAATGTGTTTGCTATTACGTGATCAAAATATATTGTATTAATTGGAAAATGGATTTTCCCCAACTACCAATATTCCTTAATTCTCTTTGGGTTTGATTTGCCAGGATGAAATTGGAAGTGTTGTTGGTTGTGTGAGTACACTGCATGCTGCCTGTTTCTCCTGTCAGATTTTGCATGATTCTTTTGCAATAGTGTCTCAATGTCTGTGTGTGTGTGTCCGTGTGCGCACTCTTACCGGTGAGCAGCCACAGTGGCTGCCGCATCCAGTGCGAACTGACGCATGACACTTTCTTCTAGATACTTCTGCTCCCACTTTGTCATGTCTGCCTCCAGAGCCAGGATCCTCTCCTCCTTTTCGCGCAAGAGCTCCATCAGGCCAGCAGCACTGTACTCGGAGGAGGCGTTGGCCGTCTGAGAGCTTCCCTGGCGCTGGCAGGAAAAGGCAACAAAACAAACCCACTGAGAAGTGTGCAGAACTGCAACCAATGTGGTGGTGCTCCTTGGAAAGTCACGGTGGAGAGAGGGACACAGGAATGATGCTGGACTCCAAGCTCCCTTCCAGCCCTATCATTCTGTCAGTCCATGTGCTATATGTGTTCCCAGAACAGAGCATGTTGCACCTCTGCTCCACAAGCCGCATGGCTGCCAGCCTGCTTCCAGGTCCAGTCTGAAGTGCTGACATTGACCTTGAAAGCCCCTCATGGCATGGGATCAGTTTGTCTGAGGGACCGTCTCTCCCCAGTTCTATCAGCAGGGCCCATGAGATCTGGCAGAAAGAGATCAGCTAGGGCAGCGGTTCTCAACCTGTGGGTCGCGACCCCATTTGGGGTCGAACGACCATTTCACGGGGGTCGCCAAACAACGCAGTCCGCCATTTTTTTTCCCCTTTTCAACGCAGTCCGCCATTTTTTTTTACCTTTTCCTTAGCTGTGCTACTCCCTCTTATTCTATTGGCTTTTGAAAGCCAATAGAATAGACTCTATTCAAGAGACTCTATACTCTCTTGAATAGAGTCTAATTCTATTGGCTTTCAAAAGCCAATAGGAATTGTCCAGGCTGTCTCTGCCCTGCTGAGCCCGGCAAAAGTCCCAGTCTGCAAACGGTGCTTCAAGTTGTCTGCAGCTAAGGTGAGCTTTCTGGACGTTTCCACCCCTCCCTGCTGAGCAACTCCTAAATGTAAGTAAAAGAAGGCCAGGGGTGGGAGGTGGGAGGCCGGTGGGCGCAGGGAGGGTTGCTGGCGCACGTGGGGCCCAGTGGGTGCCTTACCTCCCTTGGGCTGGGCCAGCTGGTGGCCCAGCCAGTGGTTGCCCTGCGCCCTCGTTGCTGCGTGCCATGGCCGCCCAGGAGCGCCTGGGCCTGCCGCCGCACTGAACGTGCGGTGGCCAAGGTAAGGCTAGCAGAGCAGCGGTGGGCGCAGGGAGGGTTGCTGGCGTGCGTGGGGCCCGGCGGGTGCTTACCTCCCTTGGGCTGGGCCAGCTGGTGGCCCAGCCGGTGGTCGGCCTGCGTCCTCGCTGCCGCTTGCCATGGCCGCCCAGGAGCGCCTGGGCCTGCCGCTGCACCGAACGGGCGTCTTGCTCCGCGATTGCTGGCTCCGCACAAAAGTTTCTTTTTCTTTCCTTTTCTTTTCTAAATTCTACCCCTCTTTTCTAAATTCTACCCCCCTTTCTCCCCCTCTCCTGTCCCCTCTCCCATTCTTTTCTCTCCTCTCCTTCCCGGCGGCGAGATTCGGCCGGCTAAGGGGGTCGCTCTAGCTCGAGCAGGAGAGCCATCTCTATGCTCCTGGGTCACGTGTGGTCGTGTGTATGGGTCACGTGTGGTCACGTGGGTGCGTGCGTGTGGGTCACGTGTGGGTCACGGTGTGTGCGTGTGGGTCACGTGGGTACGTGCGTGTGGTCACGTGGGTGCATGGGGTCGCGGCATTAGGAAGGTTGAGAACCGCTGAGCTAGGGGATGGCCTTTGGGGGTCCCAGGAGACGTGCCTGCTCTGGGGTGGCGTCCTCCTTATGGAACATCCTTCCCCCTGAAATTAGGTTCATCCCCTCACTTTGGACATCACAGAAGGAAGGCGATGTCATCAGGCCTTGGGGGCGGGGGAGAAGGAAGTGGAGAGAGGTTCAGATGGCTCCGTTTTCTGGAGATGGCCGTTTTGGTCCTCTCTTTGACTAGGTCAGGGGTAGGCAACCCAAAACACCCAAAGAGCCACTTGGACCCGTTTCCCACCGAAAACAAAACACTGGGAGCTGCAAAACCCTTTTGATATCTAAAATGAAGATAACACTCCATATATCCTTTTTTACCTTTATTATATATATATATCTTTAGTGTTATCTTCATTTTAGATCTCTCTCTCTCTCCCTCTTTCTGCCCTTGGTCTGCCAGTCCTCTTCCCCCACTCTTTCTTTCTCTCTCTCTCTTTCCTCTCTCCCTCTCCCTCTTTCTCTTTTTCTTTCTCTCTCCCTCTTTCTCTCTTTCCTCTTCCTCTCTCTTTCCTCTTCCTCTCTTTTTCCTCTCCCTTTCTTTTTTCTTTCCTCTCTCCCTCTTTCTCTCTCTTTCCTCTCCCCCTCTCTCTTTTTCTCCCTCTCTCTCCCTCTTTCTCTCCCTCTCTCCAATCTTCTGCTCACCTGGCAAGCTGGCTTCAAGCTGTTCTCTAACAAGCTCAGGGTAGGCAACCTCGGCTCTTTTATGACTCATGGACTACAACTCCCAGAATTCCTGAGCCAGCATAGCTGGGCTAGCTAGCTCACTCCTGCCCTTCCTATTTCCTGCAGAGACGCAGCCAAGGGAGGAGCCCCGCCCAGTAAGCTTTTCAGCTCCTTGGAGAACACCGTGAGTCCACTCTCTTTTTTACTTACACACACACACACAAAGAGAGAGAGAGAGAGAGAGAGAGAAGGGAAGCTCAAGTGCCTCTCTCTGTCTCTCTCTGCAAATGGCAGAGGAGGCTGGGAGCCGCAGGGGAAGGCTCAAAGAGCCACATGCTGCTCCGGAGCCACAGGTTGCCGACCTGTGGACTAGGGGGTTGCAGATTTGTTTATATCCTTTATTTCTTAATGCAGATTGTTACATTTTTTAATATGTGTCATTTTTATATTTGTGGTTTTATCCAATTGCGTGCTATACCAATTTGATTAATAAATAAATACTTCTGCATATACTTTTCAGAGGCTTCCCAAATCTTGCTGGAGTGGAGCAGAAGTTGCACAACTGCATTTACCTGCTGCATCCGGAGCGATTCGAGTTCTCTTTCCAGCCGAGTCCTGAGCCGGTGCTCCAGCTGCTCCCGCTTCTCACAAGCCGCCTGCAACTGAACCAGCGCCTGCTGCATCTTCTCCACCTTCTCCACATAAACCTGCTTCTTCTTCAGCTAGCAAAGGAGGGAGACAAACAAGAGTTATCCGCCATCACAAGAGGCTTGCACAGATTCCTCAGTCACCCCATAAACTGGGTCGGCCGTCTCAGACCGAGGACAGAGCTGGAGCATCGAATCTGGATGGTCCATGTTGCTCTCTGGCCTCTCCAGTTAAGCCTGCAAAAAAAGAGCTGCAAGTGATACAGACCTTAGTTGCCAATCACACCAGAAAACAATCTGCCAGGTTCCAAAAACCAAAAGAGACATGTGATTCTTCTAAGCAGGTTTTTTTTAATTGTTCCTCACCTTTGGACAGAATCTTGCCAATCTAAAGCAAACTACTTGTACCATAAAGCATAGGGAGGAGCTGTCTTCACCCTCTTTCTCTGACACACACTATCTAAATGTTGCTGTCTGTTGCTCCTTTGGAATGCATCCTTATAAACATGAAGAGTGAAGAGTGCATATGCACAATTATGGTGAATATGTCAGCCCTGCTTCTTTCTGAGTCCATCAGATTTAGTGACAGCTATCAGTTCCTCGATCTGCACTTTTTCTGATGCTCCAACCGCTGTATGAGGCAGCTGATATTACCAAGTGGGGGAAAGTGTTGAGTTGTGGAATGCTGCAGGATGCAAGAGACCTTTTAACAATTTGACAGAGACACAACTTTAAAATTTGATTTAATTCGGTTTTATCGGGGGGGAATGTATTTATGTTTTGTTTTAAATATGTTGTGCGCCGCCCTGAGTCCCGCTGGGAGAAGGGCGGCATATAAATTAAATTTATTATTATTATTATTATTATTATTATGTCTGGACTGAAAGAGCCGAGGGGGTTGCCAATTGTTGCCAGGCAAATCGAAGGTGCAGGTCGTCCCTGAAAGCCCTAAGTGCTCCAGGTTCCTGAGGGGCTGCCTCTCTCTCCAGTTGCTGAGCTCTGCAGGAGAGACCTCTGAGGATTGCAAGGAAGGGCCTTTTCTGATGTTGCTCTTCTACATAACGTCCATTCGGGAATCTGAGTTTCAAGGCTGAGCCTCCCCAGTTTCTCTGAGCCTTCCTCCCAGGACTTTTAACATCGGATGCGATTCGTTTAACAACGGCCTTGTCTAGCGATGGTAATTCAGGTCCCAATTATGGTTGTAAGTTGAAGACTACCTCTACTTCCTGCAGTTTGAAACTAGTCACCTGCTGATGAAAATGGCAGCTGCCCTTTTAGCAACTATCTCGCCCTGCTGGCTCCTGTTCCATTTGCAATCTACTCCAAGATCTCTCTCAGGGCTCTCTCTTGCTATCCCTGGGCGTTTCATTTTCTTTTTCTAAGAAAAAAAACTTCGCCCTTCCTTGTTAAATGTCCTTCTGTTACTTTCATATCATATCTCTCACTCATCACCATCATTTCTAATGTAATTTCTGTCTTCTATACCATTAGCTGCCATAGGCAATTTTATGTCATCTGCCAGATTCCCCCCAAGCTGGGGATGCAGTTTCCACCCTGGCTGCGGTCTCAGGTAGAGCTGGCTGTGCTTGAGAGGAAGAAGGCAAGGAAGGGAACGTATTCCCCCCCCCAAAAAAGTCTTTCCGTCGGGACTTTCATACTGGAATCAAGAGTGCTAACAATGGTGACTCCTGGAAACCAGATCCTTTTCAACCGAGTTCACTCTTAGGCCGATTAATGGAAGACGGATCAATCGCACCCCAATCCTACAAGAGGCACCTCCAGCAGCCTCAATCTGGAGCAGACGTGAGTGGCTGCCAAAGCTCGCCCTGCTTGACAATTTGGTTACAATAAGGCGCCATTGTGCCTTCTCAGAAATGCTGGCCAAACCGATTTGGCAATCTTACCCTCCAAGGAGCGAGCACCTCTGTTTGCTTGTTAAAACACTAGAAAATTACTCCCTAACCAAAATGCAAGGCTTGAGAAAGCAGTTTAAAAATAACCCAGCAATTTCTGTCATTATGGATATACAACCCTTTCTCAACTGATGGTCCCCATCCATATTGGTCCATGGAAAGTTTTCTAGAAACTTCCTAGAATTATGCAATCTACGCATGATACACTTGTGGGGGGAAGAGGGGGAGGACTAGGGCTCATCTCTAGATGGCAGACACAGGGACGTCAAACAATACCCAAAGCATCATGAGTGCTTTGACCGAGAAGCGCCTTCCGATGGCAGAGATATTTTCTCATCATCTTGGGGCCACTTCCAGCCACTCTGAGCAACTGAACTGCTCCAAAGTCTACCCACCATTTGAAGCTCCAAAACATCTCAATCTAGTAAAAGAGGCTGCAAACTATAAGTACTCACAACCATTTGCTTAGTGACTGTTCAAAGTTACAACAGCGTTGAAAAAAAGGGACTTGTGACTGCTCCTCGTACTTACAATTGTCACAGCATCCCCACAGTAACATGATCAAAATATGGATGCTTGGCAACAGGCATGTATGTATGACAGGTGAAGCATTCCAGGGTCAGGTGGCTGCCATTTGCAACCTTCCCAGCCAGCTTCAGACAAAGACATCAAAGGGAGAAGTTGGACTGGCTTAACAATTGTGTGATTCACTTAACAACTATGGCAAAAAGGTCATAAAATCGGATGTGATTCAGTGGATATTCTGCTCCCAATTGTGGCCATAAGTCAAGGCCTACCTGTATTATTCATGGGCACCAAATCACCTCAGGCACACATGATGCCTGAAATCAAAGCACTTTTTTACAAAATGACCTAGATTTGTGCCAACCTTGTGATATTGGCCTCTCCCATTTAACTTCGAGCTTTTAATGTGAGATCTTGTGAGATTTTAGAAGACAGCTATTGAATCTCACACCAGATTTCTAGCACAAGCCGCAGTACCTTGGGGAAGGAATCCCCTCATTACAATTAGCACAAATTTCACAGCAGTGACACCTTTTTCCAGGCTCAAAGGAAGTTGGGCTGCTTTGAGGTCCCGCAGAAAGGAGAGCCCCACCGCATTTCTTCCATGTCAGTTGGGGAGCCAGGGAGGCACGTGAAATGATAACGGAGGAGGAGACACCCCCCCCCCAGCACCAGAGGACAGTTCTGTTCTGAGACGACACTGCTGTCTGAAGTTGAACAATACAAGAGCCCAATTTGCTTTTAAAAGGGGCCTGGAAAAGATTAGGGAAGCTCAGGAGAGCCAAAAAGAAAGGAAAACCCACGTTACAGGATACAAGCAAGCCAGAGGCCTCCAGCTGGTGTCTCTGCCAAAAAACAGCTTAGCTAAGCACACCTTCCTCGCCAAATGGAGTCAAATATTCTCAACAATTACCAGCTCAGAAACAAGCTTCGACCAAACTTTCTATAACAGCTTAATACCTGCTATCAGCATAACCAGAGATCTTTGAAAGTTCATTTTTCGTTTTCAGTTTGTCTGGCAGTTTGAGAATACACGACAAACCCAACACAGGGATGGTGGTTTGAATGTTTGGTCGGGCGGAGTCCAGCTGCCAGACCTTTTCCCTTCCCTCTTCCTCCCCTTCCCAGGGCACAGCGTGGAGACTGGTGCTCATTCATAGAGAACCTTTCACACTGGTTGCCAAGAAGAAGGGAAACGGGGCCTTCACCTCTTGCAGAGTTTCCATGCAGAGCAAAACACAATTAAAAGACAACAAACAGCTCTTCCACGCAGGATGGCCTCTCATCTGCCTGAGATGAAAGCGGGACAATTGTCTCCTTTCCAAGATTTTTCCTTTTCTGATCAGCTGTGAACACCCCCCCCCCTTTTCTCCCAAAGTAAAGAGATCTGTTAATGACTGGCTGCTGGGTGGGGGAAAGCAAGAGCAGCTGCGGGAGTTGAGCCCTGCAGGATCCCACTCCCACAGGAAACCTGGCATATTCTGCAACTGCATTGAAATATGGTACGAAATTTGCCAAAACGGTCATGGATGGAATGATGGAAATAGCCACTCAGACCTGGGCTCTTCTATGTCAGAGATTCCCAGTAAAGAACAATCCCATGTAAGGAAAGACATCACAGAATTCTCGTCAGCCATGAGTCCTGCTCTTTGTACTGAACTGGAATGGCCCCCAATCTGATGACACCCCCCCCCCTCTTTAAAGGAAGCACAGTATAGCAGAGAACTGGCTTAGCCAGCAGAAAATTCTGGGAGGCTGTCGGCCATAAAACAAGGCCCAGGAAGCGAAGTGAGTTGCCTACTTGTCCTTTACAAGTGCAAGCTAACAAATTCTGGGAGAGGTATGGGGAACTGATTCATGTTGCAAAGATCAAGGAAGCAGTGACTAGATCAGTTCCTAGGAACCTCTCTGAATAAAGACAGGACAGGAGATGGCCCACATGGGCTCCGGATGGCTGCTTCTTATGAGGAGACCGTGGTTTTCCACCAGTTTAAATGTCAGGAAATAAGGTCTTCAGCCATCTTGCCTACAACCATGGCAGAACTCTTCAAAGGCACCAAGCTCACTTTCTAATCACTTTCAGGAATTGCCTTTTAACCATCTTAAAGGTAATAAAGATCTTCAGGATGACAGGTCTTCATCAGGTGAATTTATCTTCAACTCCGAACAGAAGAAAGATTAACTGTATATTTAAGAACATAAAAATTTGAAATAAATAGCAAAAGCTGAATGGGATTTTGATCTAATAAATGAATTAAGGATCCAGATAAATTAGGAATATTGACATTTACTATAAGATTTTGGAATTAACTATAAAAAATAAAGAGTTTCCTCTGGGAAACAGACTTATTTTGGCTATCTTGACTATTGCAAGTCATAACAAAAATAAGTGATGATTTTAGAAACAGGATACTAGAAGGGACAAATATTTTAAGCAAAAGAAAAAACAATACAAACCTGGGCTTGATGGGACTTACAAAATGTCATAACATTAAAAATATTGAAGATGACCTTTGAATAATGGGGCCAGAAATTAGTAACTTATAATGTATCAACACTGTCAATAATAATGTCTGCTTCTACCAACAAACTAGATCTAAAATACATTAATGAAGGAATGACAGATGTGGAACAAATTTTATCTGACAAGACAAAGTACCAAAAGTAGAACTATAAATGATAGGCCAAGAGAAGGATGCTTTACAGGTAGTCCTTGATTTACGACCACAATTGAGCCCCAAATGTCTATTGCTAAGCAAGACAGTAAAGTGTCCTTTGCCCTATTTTTATGACCTTTCTTGCCACAGATGGTAAGTGAATCACTGCAGTTATTAAATTAATAACAAGGTTGTTAAGTGATTCTGGTGTCCCCATTGACTTTGCTTGTCAGAAGGTCGCAAAAGCTGATCATATGACAGGGACACGGCAACCATTATAAAAACATGCCAATCGACAAATGTCCGAATTTTGACCACACAACCATGGGGATGCTGCAATATTCATACGTATGAAAAAGTCATGAGTCACTTTTTTCTGTGCCACTGTAACTATAAACAGTCATTAAACAAACGGTTGGAAGTCAAGGACCTTGTATTGGATATACAAAAGAAACTGACTAAACTGTTAAAAAATAAACGGAAAATACAAAGAAAATGACCTGGAAAATGTGTTCTTATTAGATGTACAAAGAGACTTTGTTAAAGTCTTGAAGAAATCTGTGCAATGGGATAAAGAGGAATTGAGGAGAAATCAAATCCCACAACAGTATTTGATTAAATTAAAGGTTAAGATTGTTAGAAGTGAAAGCAAGGAATATAAAGTTGGTTTATGTGATCAAGATAAAATAAAATATGTTGTTATTTTGGGCTACTCTTTTTGGACATTCTGCTAATACCAGGATGATGCAAAGATAATGCTTTATGAAAAGATAACGTTTTGTAAACATAGAGGGGGTGAAGAGTCAGCAAGCTAAACATTTCAAGCATCTTTATAAATGAGGCAGGCAGAAAGGAGCAAAGAGCATTTTTCACAAGAAGTGGCAGCTTTAGATAATGGAAGGCTTTTGTGTTCCTTGCCTTAAATCACCCACATAAGTAATCTTGCAAACCCCGGGTATAGGAGACATCAACTAAGAATGAGAGTGCAGGACAATCCAAGGGTTAGAAACACTGGAAGGGAATGAAAGCTGAACAAAAGGCAGAGAAACAGTACAGAAATAGCTGTCAGGGTGAGAAATCTTTCCATCTGGAAATTTCAAGTCCGTATAACAAGATCTCTTTGTAGTAGGAGTAAGTATCGCGTACTAGCAAAAATCCAACCTGTACTGCATCCAGCAACTACTGAGAGCTTCACTGCTATCCATAGACCTCTCAAATTTCTGGAGGTCTAGCAAATGAAGTTTGTAGCCCTCCTGGCAGTAAAATATAAATACCTAGGACTGCAGGATACATACACGCCTGCCCATGTTTGTGGGGGAACCAAACTCATACAGGATCTTACTAGAACCAGATGCTTGCAATTCATTCCTCTCCAGTCTGCCTCAAAGTCAGTCCTGGGACTCCACCAGATAGGAGATCACCAGTGTGTCTATATTAGTAATGGCACGTTAATGTCAAATTACAGACATAGATTTCTGCACCAAGTGGGTCTCTCTTCAGCAAAGAAAGCCCATGAGGATCCTCATGCAAGGTTTTAAGAAGAGTAAGCCAATACTTTCAGTTAAACCTTTTCTCTAATGAAAATTATTCTTTTGGGCCAGAAAGACCTTTATGGGACTGTCAAGGAGAAGGAGAAATCACTGAACACCATGAAACCAGACACAGAAGACCTGCAACAGATCGTTACCAGGAGACAACAATATGGTCCCTATCATCTGAAAATTGGATGATGTATTAAGTTTTTGTATCACGAGAAACAAATTGTTAGGAATATTTACTCTGGAATGCCACGTATGTCCATTTTTGTTTTAATTGTATTATAAATAAAAAACTTTTAAAAAAATTGTATCTTTCTAGGGCCATCAGCCCTACACTTTCTGCAGCCAAGAATCTTGAAAATGCTCCCATTCTTAAAATGGAAAAATAGTACTAAATTATTTTAAGGCTTTGGGAAAAGCAAAGCATGTACTCCTTCCTACGACCTAACCAAAACATTCTGCCATTTTTTCTTCCTTACTAAACTGGGTTTCAGGTATTCTTCACTATCATTTGTTGTTTTGAATCCTGAACCTGAAAGGGTTTCTGGATGCTTGCAACACCTGCAGTTTAGGGTAGGCCACTTGTGTCCTTCTTACTATCATGACAGTGTTTCTCCAGTTTGGCAGCTTGAAGATACTTCAACTTCCCAAATTCCTCAGCCAGCAAGGGAATTGAAGTTCACACATTTTCAAGTCACCAAACTCTGTATTAAGGATTCAGTTAAAAAAAAATATGCTCAAATAATGTCTGAAAGCAAAATGGAAAGACTTACTTCTTCCTCAAGCTTTACAACCTTGGCCTGTGCATTGTTCAATGCCTGGTCACGGATCTCAATGTGTCTCCGTTGCTCCTCATTAGTTGAGCGAACACCTGCTAGCTCCACTTCCAGTTTCTCCTTCTCCCTCTGTGTTTCTTTATCTATGCAGATAAAGTACAGTAGAAAGGAAAAAAAGTTGCTAGAGGGCAGAGCTCAAAATGTGGGCTATGAGCTTTGTGGATAAAGGGAACCGTGTTTCAAGCACATTTTTCAAACAATTATGACACTCTTATTGTCATAGGATGGTATGAATTGTATTTTCTTAAATTATGTTTCGGAAAGTAAACAGTAGTAAATAACTGGTGGTCAAAAGGAACTGACTGTCTCTCTTTCTCTGTGTGTGTGTATGTGTGAAACATGAGCGTGCGTGTGTGGTTGTATATGTTTGCACAGTGCACATATGTATGTATGATTTGAGAGACTTAGCTCGCCAAGTCCCACAGCATTCAAAGCAGGAGACCAGAGTTCATATAATTCTGGTTTCCACTGTCATCAATCTGTGTTCCTGGACAGGGGTCTCAGCTTGAAGCTGCTTTTGTTCAAAAGCAAGGTAGAGTAGAACTCTTTCCAAATGATTTTGAAGAAGAGGAATTCTTTCTCCCAGCATTTTCAATAGTCAGCCAAGTTACAGGAAAAGACTGGGAGATGAATGGAATGTGAGAAGGGCCAAGGGATGTAAACACAAACAGTCCATCTGTCCACTCCCTGCTCCCCTTTTATCCCAAAGGCTGCAAATGGGCAAAATCCAGCAGGAACATCTCTCTCCTTAAAGTAATGATTGTCTTGAGAGTAATTCTTCATTTTTTTTTACTGTCAGCCAGTTACCTTTGGTGAGATGGGTGGCTATGTAAATTTGATAAATAATAAATAAATAGTCCAGTGCCTAGGTCATGAACTGTAAAAGACATGGTGGAATGCAGTGTTACACATCCCTTAGACCCCTGGCATCTCCTTCCTCTTCAGAGAACGCTGCAGATTCAGAGCCATGGGAGGAGCAAAAGGGGCTTCATGCTACACACAGTCAGTGGAATGTGTGACACTCCAGCCCCCGGAGCTTGGAATCATGGCTCAGGGTAAAGATGTGCAACTATTTTCAGGCCAAAGATTGCATTGAGCCTTTGAATGGCATAATGGAGGCCATGTTCTAAAATGCAGTCATTGCGGTCAGGACAAAAGCTAACTTGGATGCAGCTTCCATTTAAATATAATTAATTAAATGTTGTTAGTATTGCTCCCCACAATTTAGAGATTCCCTGCTTACATCTCTGGATGAAGCCATGTTCAATTAACCACTAGCCAACCTGTGACCATACGGGTCATCCTTTCAGAGAAGCTTCCTCATCAGATTCCTCAATGCCTTCAACAATGGCAGAGCTTCTAAGGTACTGGAAAAGTTCTTAAAATTCAGGGAGATATTCAGAGATGTTTCTGCCTTGAAAGGAGCCTCTGCTGAACTACATAGCATCAGCAAAGGAAGCATTTTATGACATTTTATATTATGTCATAAAGAGCCTTATGATAACCTTTATGTCATAAAAGGTTTTATAAAATTTGCCAAATTTCCATTCCATGGGAGTCATGGGTCCTAGATTTTGGATGCATTCTGTAAGTTAGCCCATTTGAGGTACTTTGGTTCAAAATGTTTTGCCCTATGATGCTTTGTTTTACCCAGTTAAAGGGTACAGGCACAAGGATTTCAGCTGTAGACTGACTGCTCTAAAACAACGGTCTAGCTAACACAACAGGTGATCCTCAGCATGAGGAAGGGGGAAAACAAGTTGGGTCAGGACACCAGGAGTTTTTCCAATATACCTGGCCTTCCCCCTCAAGGCAGCTAAAAATAAGGAACCACACAGCAGAGAAGAAATGGCAGCTGAAGTTTTTAAGTGAATATGAGAAAGAGTTCAACAGTGGTTACTCTTTCACTAGCAAGAGACCAACAGTGGGTGTTCCTGTCTCTCACCAGCTTCTTCTGTTCTCCTGGGAATTTCGCAAACCTATTTTAAGCACTTTGTGCATTTGCAAAACAATTAACTACAGCTCTTGGTACAGGAAATGTAATGGACTCACTTTGTGCAAAGAGCTGGGAGATGGTTTTCCTGTTATCCTCAGTGCCTTCAAATTCTTTCTCTGCAAGTTGCTTATTAGCAGTATCCATACGATCTGCAAAGGAAGAAGAAATGCATGGATCATTGAACTGTTAGGGCTGATTAATTAACTATTACTTTAATTGTTAAGAGTCTATCCCACATGTATCATTCCTCCTGCCACCTTGCACAACTGTCTAGTGAGGTGGGCTGGACTGAGGGAAAGAAAGTGACTACAACCCAAGTCACCCAGTGAACTTCCATGGCTGAAGAGGAGTTGGAACATGGGTGTTCCTGATTGTCCTGGACTTGCTAATCCATAACCCAGTGACTCTATGGAAAGCTATCCAAGCAGTTAACCTTTCTTGCCATTCAACAAAGGAGACAGTATTTCACCATCTAATCTTTATTAAAAGCTGAAAGTTCAGGTAAAACTGTAAAAAATAAGCAATGGCATATGGATAGGCCCACAAACTATACATATGAATATATGTACATAATAACTAGCAGCCATATTCCACAAGAGACCATGTACTCCTAGCTATAATGTGGCCTACCTACTGTCTAGGCTAAAAAATATCACTACCCTACACCCTACAGAGCCTAAACTGCCTAAAGGCATGAAGGGATACATTGCTCACCTGCGAAACCTCCAGATGGGTCAAGATTTCAGTTGAGGAACTGGGTGTGGCTTCTCTGCATAGAAGATGGAGGCTGGAATGGCCTCACTTCCCTTCTCTTTGCCATGCAATACCAATAGCACTTAGACTTATATACAGCTTCACAGAGTTTTACAGCCCTCTCTAAGCAGTTTACAGAGTCAGCCTGTTGCCCCAAACAATCTGGGTCCTCAATTTACCAACCTCGGAAGTATGAAAGGCTAAGTCAACCTTGAGCCAGTGAGACTCGAACTACCAAACTGCTAGTAGCCGGCAGTCAACAGAAGTAGCCTGCAGTACTGCATTCTAACTACTGCGCCACCACGGCTCATCAATGCTTTGTAAGAGGAAGTGATGAGTCAGGAAAGAGGAAGTATGTAATAGTCGCTGAACACTTCCTAGTGAAGGGAACATGCTGCACCTATTTTGGCTAGCAAGGATCAGTGTTGATAAACTTTACCTATAAGCTACCTAAATGCAAAACACCTTATTATTTCAAAGGCACAATACCTTGAATGCAGAACAAGTAGATAATAGATAACCCTGTCCTGCCAGAGCAGCAAATGCGCTGGGGACGGAACACTGGTCCAAGTCCAGAATCTTTAATAACGATGTCCCCCCATGACTCATGGTATCCTCACACTTGGCGATCCATCTCCAAACCTTTTAAGGGACAGTTGCTGTATTCAATTCCAGCCTATTCCAAATTGCCCAACCTTGTACTTTGCTTCCACAGTGATGAACCAAATGCATTGGGAAGTCCCTGAACGGGATGGAAGGGCAAAAGAATCATCAGGTCCTTCCTTCTCTCTTGTCGAGAAGACAGCCGTCTTGGCAAATGGCTTTTGGCAGCCTTATCTTCTCCCATGAATCTTTTTGATCCCTTTTAATGAGTCTTCAACCTTTGCTGCACCACAAGACACCAAATGTCATAGTCTGACATCCTCTATGCAAGTATCAACATCTTCTGTGCAAGAAGGGTCACCCCATTCCCTCCCTCCCTCCAAAAATCCTCAAGGAATACTGAGATCTCAAGGAGGTTTTTAGTGAAAAGGCGTCTGATGTGCTCCCGCCTCACCGGCCAAGACTGTGCCATCGAGATCCTCCCTGGGGCTAGACTGCCAAAACCCAAACTGCACTATCTAGTCAGGAAAACCCGAAATCAAAGTTTCATTTTTTTTCCACCTCAAGCACAAAGTCCAGAAGTGGTCTTCACGTAGCAATAAAAATATTTTTTCCTTTAATCAGTGCAGTCAATTTAGCCATCTCTGCTAGCTCCCTCAGTTTCTGCAAACATTCCTCCGCTGTGGGAATTGATGTGGTCTTCCATTTCTGAGCGTAGAGTACTCTTGCTGCTGTCAGCATATATAACATCAAGGTTCCATATTTATTTTCCAGGTCTTTGTCCACTAACCCCAAAAGAAAAGTCTCTGGTTTTCTTTCTATATTCACTTTAAAAATTTTCTGTATTAATGTATGAATCCTGTTCCAATATTTTCTTGCTATATCACATGTCCACCATAAAAGGTAAAAAGTCGGTTCTATTCCGAGAAAAGAAGGATGCTTCTCTCCGCCTGTGTGTGAACTACCGTGGGCTCAACGCAGTTTGTGCGGAGAATGTGTACCCCCTACCACTCATGAAAGACATGCTAGCCCCCCCGAAGAGAATCCACCTCGTCTTTCACTGTAGCCTACTAAAACCAGAATTCACCTCTCCCCTTTGTCCGCCTCCTCCCACGCCACCGGTCCCTCTCTTTATCCAAGGAGAGCAACACTTTGAAGTAAGGGAGATATTGGACTCTCGAAAAGACAGAGGCAAAGTGCAGTACTTAAGGACCCGGAGGTGTCAAACCGAGCCATCTGCCTGCCCTCAAGGACCCCGGCCCTGGGCAAGGAAGTTACCACAGGGCCTGAGGCACCTAGTTCCCAAAAGATCAGACCAGGACTCGATTGGATTGCTCTGCCCTGGTGGGGGGGGCTTTGGACATTTGAGGGTTGCTTTCAATATACGATTTTTGTGCAGTTTTTCTTCAGAGCTTGCCTTGCTCACGCTGCACTCAGTATCTCTAGTAAAAGTACCTTTTCTCTAGCACCCATGGAGCCGAAGGTCGCTCTTTCCTAGGGAGTAAACGGGGGCCAGTCTGGCAGCTCATCTCTTCCTGTGCTTGGCTGGGTCAAGAAATGGGCCCAGGTGTCTTTACAGATTAAAGACCAGCAGAAAGTGCTGCTGTTCTGCTGCATTTCTGATCATGTCATTTGATAGCCCAAACAACAGGATTGTTCTGGGGACTGAACCAGTATAGGATCTGGTAAGGCACATTCAGGAAGCAGTGCTGGGGGATGACCACTGGACGTCACTGTCACTGACCTTTGGATCTCCTGTGCATGAATGTGAAGATGCTCAGGGAGCTTCCCTGGAATTTGGAGGATGTACGGCCCTCTTTGTCAAGGGAGGCGATGGAGTCTGGTTGCTCTGGCTGACTGGATGTCGGCTCAGTCCAGAGAAGGGGGAGGGAATATTCACCCACTGTCAGAATGGAGGGCACAACCTGATCTGGATAGAACCAGGTTAAGCTTCCTCGGGATCATTTTTTTGGGGGGGTGCAGCTTGGAGGTGGTTCTGGAATAGGGCCTATTCTGGAAGGTCTGGCACTCTGGTTGGAAAAGACAGAACTAGCCACAGGTTTTAAGCATGTTTCTAAATTAATGGGGTGTACTCTGGGTGGACCACAAATGGACAGGATTTAAGAATTAAGACTAGTGCAAAACACAGCATCCCATTTCAGTCCTTGTTCCACGCGTCCTTCATCAACCAGGCTGACTGCTGATTTGTTTTCATACAAAGCTTTGGAACTTTCTTATAAAGGCCTAAATGGTTTGGGATCATGACAGATGAAAGCATGCAGCGGCCCAGGTGAATAGTTTGCTCATCTCTTAAGGTCTGTCTTGAAGGACCTTTCACGTGTCCAGCCATGAGGAGAGGGAGGTTGGGATCTCTCTTTCCCAAAGAGGACTCTCTTTTCTAAATGTTTATACTGCCACCTTCCTTGTTAAATTTAGATAGGTTGTCTTGACACTCTACAGAACAGAATAACTGTAAGTGATCTTAATACAGTGCTTTAAAAAAGATGATTACTATCCTATACTCCTGTGCTGCATTAATAAAAATGGTTTTGGATTTTTAAATTCTACGTTCTCTTTGAGGACTCTTTGGGGGCTACAAACTCAGTCACTTGACCCTGAACTCAGCAACACAGATTGAACTTTATACCTGGGCAGGAATTTCCTCCAACCCAAATTATGATACTGAATGTTTACAAGAGTAAATATAATGTGAACATACAAAGGATTTTACAAAGGGACAAAAAGTGAGCTGCATGGTGTTTTCTGGGGTTTTTTTTAGGAGTCATAGAATTATATCACTGATCTTAAATACAGGTATTCAATCACTCAGCAGCAATAAGAAGAACTTTAACGTTTCTTTTTACCTCTGAGGTCACGATTAAAATCATGAAGTCTACGGATTTCACATTCCAGCTTGTTTCTCATGGTCTTTTCCAGAGACTCCCGCTTGGAAGAAGACTTCTCCAGATTTTTATAAGCCTCTGAAACTTGTTGGATTTCTGTTTCTAGCTATAACAAATAATTAAATGAAAATAAAACACAAAAAATATTCAGCAGTGTGTTCTAATATTCATCTCTGAATTCCATCAGCTCCGTGCAAAACTCCGAGAAGAGTTGCTGACTGGTTTGGACAGTGTGGAAAGGGAGCGTCCGGGCCTTGCAGCACAGCAGCAGCAGCAGCAGCAGCAGGAGTCCCTTTCATCTGACACACAACAACGAACTCCAGGTTAACCCTGAGGTGGGTAGTCGGACTCCAGGATGTCTGCAGGGGAGGCCAGCTGGGAGCCAGATGTGAGGTCCCTGCACACTGCCAGAGGGAGTCAGCATACAAAAGTCACACTACAGGATAAACACTCTGGAATGCATCTCCCTTGCAATACTCCAAGGAATTGTGAATCAACCATAGAGACATTCCAACACCTTGACAAAATCTTGATTTGCAAGGTTTGCACACAGGAAGCTTATGCTTTGTTCTAAGATATTATTCACTTCAAACATGTTGAATAAGCACAATGACTGGGATGACATATCATGCTAAGTAAAAACCAGACAGACTGCATTATGGCTTGGAATAATATAGGAACTCAGCCCTTGCCCCAAACTAGAGACTCATTATCTCTGAATGTCTGGTGTAGTTTTCCCTCAACCTGGCCTGATTTTCATCTCCCGTGATTCCCAGAGAATATTTGCTAACAGCCTAGCTTGAAATGATGGGAGTCAGTAGTTAAGGGAGAAACTCGTCTGCAGCAAGTAGGGTGGGTCGGAGAGGGCCAAGGCCTTAGCTTGAGGCTTTCTGCACACCAACACACGCCTTCTGCCACTGAGCGGTAGCTTCTCTTAGGGTCTATTAAAGTAGTCCCAAATTCGACACAGTACAGGTAGTCCTCAGATTACGACCACAATTGAGCCCAAAATTTATGTTGCTAAGTGAGACATTTGTTAAGTGAGTTTTGCCCCATTTTATGACCTTTCTTGCCACAGTTGTTAAATGAATCACTGCAGTTGTTGTTAACATGGTTGTTAAATGAATCTGGTTTCCCCATTGACTTTGCTTGTCAGAAGGTTGCAAAAGGGGATCACGTGACCCCAGGATACTTTCATAAATATGAAATAGTTACCAAGCATATGAATTTTGATCATATGACCATGGGGATGATGCAATGGTCATGAGTATGAAAAACAGTCATAACTTTGGTTATAACAGTTGTAACTTTGAACGGTCACTAAATCAAGCGTTGTAAGTCAAGGACTACCTGTACACAGATTAAATCAGGAGATGAAGATGGGGGACACTGTATAGACCAGGGCTTTTCAACCTTTTCACCCATTGTACCACTTTTAGGATATGGCAATATCCGAGTACCACCAGTCGCCTAGCAAGGTGACAAAATTTAAAAAAAAAAAAAAAAGGAAAAAAGTGATGAAGTACAGGTAGTCCTCGACTTACAACAGTTCGCTTAGTGACTGTTCGAAGTTACAATGGCACTGAAAAAGTGCCCCCCAAGGCACAGCCGAGCAAGACACCTGCCTGCCTGCCCGCCCAGCAGCACTCCCATCCCCGCTACCCCTTTTCTAGGAGGGTCGCGTACCACCTGCCAGGTGCCAATGTACCACAGGGGGTACCCGTACCACTGGTTGAAAAGCCCTGGTATAGACGGTTGATTCACTAGAGCGCTGCCTTCTCCACAGTATCACCCTTGGGACTTTCCAAACAGAAGGAGAGGGAAGAAAAATGACCTCCTACCTTTTGCAACCTTGCTACTTTTTCATAGCATCCATCCAGCTCTTGCCGTAGAGACTTGTTCTCCTCGGAGAGGATCTCCACCATCTGCTGGGCCCTGGAGACAATGACATAGGGGTCCACCGGCATTTGCTGATAGGGAGACGGTGCTGGTGGGGGCCTGGGCAGGGCCGAGTAAGAGTCCCCTTGATGCTGTCCAGTAAGAGGTTGGCAGAATCGATAAAGGTCACCCTGGTGAATCTGGTTGGGCAAAAAAAGCTGCTGCGTCCGGGGCAGAGAGAAGGGGTCTCCGTGGCTAGGGGTCAGAGGTGGCTGATGTTGAGAAGGCGACAGCCTGGAAGGCGGAAGTGATGGCAACAGCGTCAGGGACCCCAAAGAGGTCAGTGAAGAGGTCGGGCTGTGGTGGTGGGGAAGTCGTTGTTGGAATGGCAGTTGAATCTCTGGGTTTTGCCTGTCAAGGACAACGAATACATCATTTAAATTGGACACTACATTTGTACCTGCAGCTTCCCTAACTTCGTGCTTCTGAGACACCTTATATTTCTATTCCATCATCATTTGAGCTTTGGGCTTCAATTCTCCTTAGACCTTTCTGAAACAGCAGAGCTCATGTTGGTTGGATTATGGGGCTAAAGACTATGAAAGTGGATGGTGCTAGTCCCAGCTTTGGATGCTCAAGTACCTACAGCTTGACACAGCATCTTCCAACTTCAGTTATAATATGAAAAACTCAGTTGCATGGAACAGATGTGATGAAGCTCCAGACTTACAAGACTGTTTACAACATTGTTTGAAAAATCTCAACAGGGTCGGGGAATTACAGCCAAGCTGCTGACCCAGGTTCCTAAGTATGAGCAGACTTCAGCTAAAGAGCTGGCAGATGTTACCTCAGAACCATTGCACCACATCTTTCATAAATCCTGGAGCACCGGGAAAGTACCTGAGGATTGGAAAAGGGCTGATGTGGTTCCCATCTTCAAGAAAGGGAAAAAATGGAACCAGGAAACTACAGACCAATCAGTTTAACATCAATATACCTGGAAAGATCCTAGAAAAGATAATCAAAAAACAGATCTGCAAACAACTAGAAGCAACCAAAGTCATAACCAGTAGCCAGCATGGGTTTGTTAAACCCTATGGGATCACGCCAAACCAATCTTATTTCATTCTTTGATAAAGTGACTAAACTAGTAGACCAGCGAAATGCTGTGGACGTAGTATACTTAGATTTCAGTAAGGCATTTGACAAAGTAGACCACAACCTACTCTTTGGTAAGCTAGAAAAAGGTGGAATAGACAACATCACCACTAGATGGATCTGTAGCTGGCTGGCAAACCGTACTCAACGAGTAGTCCTCAATGGCACTACATCCACATGGAAAGAAGTAAGAAGTGGGATATCACAAGGTTCCGTCTTAGGCCCAGTACTCTCAACATCTTCATAAATGACTTAGATGAGGGAATAGAAGGGGAACTCAAATTTGCAGATGACACTAAACTGGCAGGAGTAGCCAACATCCCAGAAGACAAGCTCAGGATCCAAAAAGATCTTGACAAACTTGAACAATGGGCCCTATCCAACAAAATTAGTTTCAATGTGGAGAAAAGCAAAGTTTTACATTTAGGCAGGAAAAATCAAAGGTACAAGTACAGATTGGGCGAGACCTGGCTTAAAAACAGTAACTGTGAGAGGGACCTTGGAGTCCTAGTGGACAATCACTTGACCATGAGCCAGCAGTGTGCAGCAGTTAACCAAAAAAGCTAATACAATCCTGGGTTTTATAAACAGAGGCATAGAATCAAGATCACACAAAGTATTAGTACCGCTTTATAAAGCCCTAGTACGACCACACCTGGAATACTGCAACCAATTTTGGGTCTGGCTAGTCTAAAGAAAAGAAGAAATAGGGGTGACATGATAGCAGTATTCCAGTATCTGAGGGGCTGCCACAAAGAAGAGGGGGTCACATTATTCTCCAAAGCACCAGAGGGCAGGACAAGAAACAGTGGTTGGAAACTGATCAAAGAGAGAAGCAACCTGGAATTAAGGAGAAACTTCCTGACACTGAGGACAATCAACCAGTGGAACAGCTTTCCCCCATAAGTCGTGGGCGCTCCATCACTGGAGACTTTTAGAAAGAGACTAGACAATCACCTGTCTGAGGTGGTATAGGTTCTCCTGCTTGAGCAGGGGACTGGACTAGAAGACCTCCAAGGTCCCTTCCAGCTCTATTCTATTCTATTCTATTCTATTCTATTCTATTCTATTCTATTCTATTCTAATTCTATTCTAATTCTATTCTATTCTATTTTATTCTAATTCTATTCTATTCTATTCTATTCTATTCTATTCTATTCTATTCTAATTCTATTCTATTCTATTCTAAATGTAAGAAGACTTCATCCATGAATTGTTTATAGGCACAATTCAAAATGCGAAATCTCTGTCTAGTCTGAGATCTGGCTAGTATCTCAAGGGCTCTCTGTTGTTACTCCAACTGGCTGGACAGCTGACAGTGTTGCCACATCTTTGTCTGCAGAAGTTGGGTGTCTCCTGTAGAAAAACCCTTTTTGTAGTTAATTAAAACCCTACAATTTGGTTATTCCAGAACTCCTTGTTGCTCTCTGCTGCTCATTTAGGCTTTGGGGTAGTCCATTTAATTGAATGAAGTTGTATGGGTTTGTTTCCCTGCAAGTGACTGCCTGGTTTTATTCTATACAAGATTTCTGAAGTTGCTTTCTTAGTTTTAATTCAAGCATGGAGAATCTGTGTATTTCCAGATCTGGCTCAAAAAGCGCAAGCTCTCCCAGCCTCCATCACCCACATATTTGGGGTTGCTGGGAAATGGAGTCTGACCACTAAGAAACATCCCAGTTCCCCGTCCTCCCCAGTAAAGTCCTGCTTTTTAACATTATTCATCGATACTGGTAAGCTTCCATTCCATTTATTATTTTTTCATAATCATTTAATACACCTTGAATGTCATGGCCCCAAAACAGAGCAACAACTATTTTAAATCAAGGAATCCATTTTGTAGTAAAAATGAAGCAGTATGCAGCAGAGCCCTTTCCAAGTCTTCTAATAGCTCTGCAGCTGCAAAAACAATTATCATGTAATACTTCCCTAACTCTGTGAAAGCAGACTCACACATACACAAAGATGCACTATAAATCTGAATGATCATTTTGCCTCAAGTATGGCTGTTCTACGAATCTAAGCTGTAGCAGCTAGCAAAGGATCAGGGTAAGAGCTGTAAAAACAAAGAACTGGGAAAAATGACAAAGCAATCCCATGAAGCAGCCATTTTGGCCAGAACAATAAGTTAGGTTTTAAAACACAAGAAGTCACAATTTTGGATAGGTTGGACCACTTATTGATTCATCATCTGGTCCCACCATGACATTTGTGGTTGTGGTCATAAGCTCATCTGAGCTATCTCAAAGGTGCTTTTTCAGGTACCTGGCACCGACTGTATCCTTACACACATACACACACCCCATCACAACTGATGAAGCTTCTTGGATAAGAAGCGAAACCTCTTCTTCTTTCTCAAGGAAAAAGGGGAAAAAAACCCAGTCCAGTTGCCTTTTTGAAAAAGCACCTTTGAGACAACTATGACTGAGGATGACGGGGACTCTCCATAGATACTCATCTGAGCCAGTTCCTCAAGGAGGACCTTTGAAGGGAGAAAACCAGCTTCAGCTGAAAGTGAGGGAGCTGACTGAGGGCTTTGCTCACCCACCGCCTGGCAAGGAGGCCCGTCTGCAGTGGCAGGACCAGGTGGGGCCCCCGTGCCTGGGGTCCAGCTCTCAAAGTACCTCTACAGCCAGTGGTGGCTAAACTATAGTTTCTGACATGACAGAAATAAGACCATAATTAACCCAGAGAGCTATCATGTCGGTTCTATTTCATTAATTTAACTTAAGTTAGATCAGTGGTTCTCAACCTTTTTAATGCCGTGACCCCATAATACAGTTCCCCATGTTGTGGTGACCCCAGGTGCCAGGGGCGTGGCCAAGTGGGTGTGGCTGCCAAGTGGGTGTGGCCACCAAGTGGGCGTGGCCACCATGTTGTGGTGACCTCCAACCATAAAATTATTTTCATTGCTATTTCATAACTGTAATT